ACACACACACACACACACACACACACACACACACACACACACACACACATGTATCTTGCTCCCTGATACAAATTAACTTTTTATGTATATACATTGTTAACAGGGTCTTGGAAAGACATTGCAAACAATTTCTCTTCTTGGGTACATGAAACATTACAGGAACATTCCAGGTCCTCATATGGTGTTGGTTCCTAAATCAACTTTGCATAATTGGATGAATGAGTTCAAGAGATGGGTGCCAACTCTTCGAGCAGTATGTCTGATAGGTGACAAAGACCAGCGGGTGAGTATGAATTCAAGTATGTTTCTCTACTAGTCATATACTTGTTTAGTGACAATTAGCCTACCTTGCCTATAGCAAAGTACTGGGGATTGGTAAGTGAAGTTTCATATGGATAGTAACAGACTTATGAGACCATTAAGTGAGATATCATTTAACTATGACTTGTGATTTTCCTGCTGGCTTCTCCATTGACTCTGGTTGTCAGAAATAGGTTTGAAAAGTGCCTGAATCACAATCAATAGCTGCAGGGTTACTGTGATGGTTGTAAAGTTACATTTCAGCACCATCATAATTTTAAATGATCAATTGCCAGGGAAGTCACTAAAGGTCTACCTGTGTCCTACTGTATTCCACTAAACAATAAATGTTATGGAATACTTTAAAGTTTCTTATCAATTATATCTCTATTTGACAAATGCATTTTTGCCAGGAGCTGTGGTGGCACAGTGGTTAGAATGCAGTATTGCAGGTTACTTCTGCCTACAGCCAGGAGTTTGATCCTCATGTCTCAGGCCTTGCATTCTTCCGAAGTCAATAAAATGAGGACCAGATTGTTGGGGCAATATACTGACTTAGTAAAGTGTTCAGAGAGTGCTGTAAAGCACTATGTAGCAGTACATAAGTCTAAATTCTTTTGCTATTGTTATTTGATTCAGCTTGAATTTTGTGTACAGTATTGGAAGTTAAATTGAAATCTACCATGTTTCCCTGAAAAGAAGACTTATTCTAAGAATAAGGCCTAATTAAGACCCCACTCACTCCGTCCCACTGTCTGGTTTTACGAACTGGGGCGAGGCGCATGCATAAAAGTCAAGTTAGGGCAGGGACGGGGGGTTGGAACTGGCCCACCTGCCCTGAACCCTCTTATCTTAGGACCGCTGCAGTCAGGCCTCCTGACACGTGTTGAGTCACTGGCTGACTTCTGCGGCCACTTGCAGACAGACGGCACATGGTGTATTGTGCCGGTGCGGCCGCTTCTGGCAGGACACTGTATGACTCGCATTCTCACCAGTGCCACCGTTATGGCAGGAGGCTGCATGCCTTATGCCGATGCTGCCGTTTGCGGCAGGAGGCAGCATATCATGTCACACTGGTGCTGCTGCTCATGTGCACAATGGCGCAATGCACCACATGGCATCCTGCAAGTGGTGGCACCAGCACAATGAGCCACATGCTATTCTTCTGCCAGCAGTGGCACTGGTGTGATGTGTCATGTGGTGTCTGGCCCAGAGTGGCCGTGAGCAGCTGCAGAAGTCAGGCAGCGGCACAACAGGTGTCAGCGCGTGGGAGACCTGGCTGCAGTGGTCCTAAGGTAAGCGGGTAAAACAACCCCCGAAAATAAGACCTGGTCTTATAACTTTGCTGTGTTTTAATAATTAAAAATACCGCAAAATTTAAGGATGTTATAGTGTCATTGTTTGAAATCTTCTGTTACCACAACAGTGTTCTGCCAGTTAGGAATTATTATTCAATTAAACTTTTAAAATAAAGAACACAAGGGTTTTGCTTTACAGTTTCTTGATTTAATTGTTTCTAATTCTTTATGCAGTCAATTAAAGAAAATGTATTGCTATGTTTATTCATTCTAAATTAGTTAATATTAGGACTGATGATTATGCATTATTTTTAAAATATACCTCCCTTGGTCTTTTTAGCTGCCACCTTACTCTTGACATGATCTTTTGGAAAACCTGGTCAGAAGCTGATGCAACACAGTTTGAATTTTTGGATTAGCTATTAGCAGTGTTACAAATTACCCTGAGTTTTTAATACTGTATTAAACCCTGAAGTTCCTCAGTACATTAAGTTTATATTATATGTAATTTTAGGGAACAAGTGTAATGTATTTGAAATTATCGGGATCACACGTGGATATATTTAATAATAACTGGCCATAAAATACGCATTCTGTGGTATAGTATTGATTATTTCTTTCTTTAAAACGTTTAATTCAATATTTTGTTTGATTAAGGCTGCTTTCGTGAGAGATGTTTTGCTGCCTGGTGAATGGGATGTCTGTGTAACATCATATGAAATGCTCATTAAAGAGAAATCAGTATTCAAAAAATTTAACTGGAGATACCTAGTTATTGATGAAGCCCACAGAATTAAAAATGAAAAGTCAAAGGTAATTTTAAATACCCCATTTAGGTAAGAATTTAAATTTTGCAGATTGCTTTCCTGTCAAATGTTTAAAATAATTATTTTTCTTTCAGTTGTCAGAAATTGTAAGAGAATTCAAGACTACAAATAGGTTATTGTTAACTGGAACACCATTACAGAACAACTTACATGAACTGTGGGCACTTCTTAATTTTTTATTGCCAGATGTCTTTAATTCAGCTGAGGTAATGTATGAAAATATTTGTGATATTTAGTTGTATCTTAATTTAAAAATATGGCTGAATGAAAGATTATATGATATTTATGTAGATGAAGTGATTGGTAAACAGTTTGTGGGTAAAGCCTCAGTGATCCTGATCAAAATAATTATATCCTAACTGCTAATAGAAATAGAAAAATGATCATCATTTGGAAAACTATAATTAAAACAGGGATCCCCAACCTTTTTGACGCCGCGGCCCGGTACCGGCATCAGCTGGGCGCCGCGGCCCGGTACCGGCATCAACTGGGCGCCGCCATCTTTTTTTTGATGAAAAAGTGCTTCCGGTGAGCTTTCTACCCGGAAAAGCTCACCGGAAGCACTTTTTTACCAAAAAAAGATGGCGGCGCCCAGCAACCAGCGGCCCGGTAAGAGTTGTTCCGCGGACCGGTATCTGGGGACCCCTGAATTAAAAGGGAACATAGGTACAGGTTTGCCTCTTGATTTAGGAAGCATTTCTCGGCAAGTATAAATAGTTTTAAGCAACAGCAACATTTCTGTAGGAATCTATTAGTTGAATTTGATGAGATAACAACAATAATATTATACTGTCAACAACAGATTTGACTGTGGCACTGTGAGCTAATGAAATAAATGTTTAAAATTGAAAATAAAACATTTTTTAAAAAAATATTAAAGTATTTGAGAAAGAAATATTTCTAGCAAGGTAGAAAACTATATCATTGATGGTGGTTATCTTCAAAAGTATAATTCTTCAGTACTTTAGAGCAGGTTGGAAATCAGCCTTATCTTTAGTGCTATTTCAATTTTTCCCCCCACTGATTCTATTTTATAAGTGGAAATGAAATTATGGCTTTAGTAGATCTTAAAATTCATTAAGAAGAATTGTGTTATCCATATGCGAGAAGAGTAGAGGTATGTTCATTTATCTCATATTAAATGTTGACATGAATGTCAGCCAACATGAGTTATCTAGCAGCATTCCTGTATCATTTGAGCAAGAAATCGGAATTGAAACATATTTTTTGGAAAGCTAGAACTCAAGATAATAACAATAGCTTTTATTGTCATTGTACATCATGTATGCAACAAAATTGGTTATAATAGTTAAATTCTTTTTGTATTTAATAGATGTGTGGGAAAGGAATAGTATATTAATGCTGATTTATTGGTAATGGATTATTTGATTATAAAGCATGTTTTTTAATGCAGGATTTTGATTCATGGTTTGATACAAACAACTGTCTTGGGGATCAAAAATTAGTAGAACGGCTTCACATGGTGAGTTTCTTTTAAAAAATGAACTAACTTTGGTCTATTTTTACTACATAGCTCTCACTCTGTGCAGTATCTCCATGTATTCTACCTAGAAAGCAATAAAACGTGTCTCTAAACTTTGCTTGAGGCACTGTTGGTGCAGATACCGCAACATTTTCCAATTTCATAAATAGCACAAATAGTCTGGTGGTCATTGGGACTTGTGATTTCCTCTATCTTTCTTTCCATAAATGTTATATAATAGTTGAGGTTTCTCCATTTGCATGCATGAAGTCCTTGGAACCACAATTAGATATAGCATGGAAAGCTGATCCTTTTGAAAGAGAAATTAATCCAGTAGTATAAAACACAATTATTTTACTGTGTTATATTATTTATTATAATTGGCAGGTACTACGACCATTTTTGTTACGTCGTATAAAAGCTGAAGTAGAGAAAAGTTTGCCTCCAAAAAAAGAAGTTAAAATATATGTTGGTCTCAGCAAAATGCAAAGGGAATGGTAAGTAATTAAAATTAGTATTTGAATAAATATAACTTCTCTATGTTGCTGATTTTTTTTTTATTAAACCTTGAAATATTTACATTACATTAATGCAGGATTGAGAACCTCAGTTGCCTTTGTCTTTCAACATAGGTACACAAGAATCTTAATGAAGGATATAGATATATTGAACTCTGCTGGAAAACTGGATAAAATGAGACTATTAAACATTCTTATGCAGTTACGAAAATGTTGCAATCATCCATACCTTTTTGATGGAGCAGAGCCTGGTCCCCCTTATACAACAGATATGCATTTGGTTACCAATAGTGGCAAAATGGTAGTTTTGGATAAATTGTTGCCAAAATTGAAAGAACAGGGTAACTATTTTATCTTATTGCTAAAAATTATTGGATAAAAGTCAAGAAAATGTTCACTCTGCATAAAAATAATGTAGAATTACAAAATTATAAAAGTAACTCTGTTTATAAATTAGCTTTTAATTCTAATTCTAAAAATCATTTGCTCATTTTATATTATACATTTTTAAGGATTTCTAATAACTTATTCAGATCCTATGTTGCTTTATGAGTACACTTATTTCGGTTCTTCATAAAATGTATTTAGAAGAATTTATTTCAGTAACAGTTTTAAAATTCTTTCTTCATGCAATAGGATCACGAGTCTTAGTCTTCAGCCAGATGACAAGAGTGTTAGATATATTAGAAGATTACTGTATGTGGCGAAATTATGAGTATTGCAGACTTGATGGGCAGACACCTCATGATGAAAGACAAGTAAGTATGCAGAAACAGGAGGTTCATTTGTTTGTCTTCACACTGAAGTGTGAATTGACCAATTTTTTTTATTGTAGGCTTCCATTAATGCATATAACGAACCTGGCAGTTCGAAATTTGTCTTTATGCTGAGCACACGGGCTGGTGGTTTGGGAATCAACCTAGCTACAGCTGATGTTGTGATTCTATATGATTCTGACTGGAATCCACAAGTAGACCTTCAGGCTATGGTGAGCTAGATTATTATGAAATTTTGTGTTCGAATCTGACTTTTTCCCCCCAGGGATATTGGACATGCAGCAATATGTTTGCTTGTCGGCCTGGATTTTTAATTAAAAATGATTATATTAAAATAAATTTTCTATGGGAATTATTACATATTATTTTTAAGTTGTAAATATTTAGACTTCTAAAAGTTATTCAAGAAAAATGATATTTGTTTGCCAATTGTTTATTGCTTATATTACAAAAATGTAATTTTTATGAATTGAGTATTCTTTTTTTCCCCTGCCACATAGGATCGTGCACATAGAATTGGCCAGACAAAGACTGTTAGAGTATTCAGATTTATTACAGACAACACTGTAGAAGAAAGAATAGTAGAAAGAGCAGAAATGAAACTTCGCTTAGATTCCATAGTTATTCAACAAGGTAAAAATGTTACATTGTTTTTTAATACTATGTGTGGTCAGTAAGCTAAATATAACCAAACTTAGAAAAAATGATTGCTGAGTACTGTAATGGGAAAATATACCCCAAAGTATTGTCTAGACATAAGGTTGATAGTTAAAAGTTATATCTAGAATGTTGATTTAAGAGTAGTTGCTGTTATAATTTTAATTGTAAATAATAATTGGAAGGATACAAAACTAATTTTGAGATAAGTTGCAAATCTTATTCATCAGTATGTACAATTGTCAGTTTTTAAACATTTTTAGATGAGGGGAAAAACCCTACAGTGTAAATAATCCAGTAATACATTCTGTTTAATGTTGGAGAATTGTACTTAATATTTAATATGAAAAATTGGTCTCACCTTTCCCTGGAATAGAATTACAGATTACATTTGAATAATAAAAGGTTACTACTTAAAAAAATATTTGCCAAATATTTGCCACAGAAGTAGATGTGCTTGGTATTACACTATTGTTTTAATCACAGCTCAGCTTTCAATACAGAAATAATTTATTTTTTTAGTTTCAAAACAAGTTAAATGTTGTGGTGTCAAAGAATTGCATGTTATTCCTATTTTTAAAACTTTTTTTGTGAAGTTATCAGCCTCTTGAGAATATTCTCTTTTTTATGTATATATAGGAAGACTAGTAGATCAGAATCTGAATAAATTGGGAAAAGATGAAATGTTGCAGATGATTCGACATGGAGCTACCCATGTCTTTGCTTCAAAAGAGAGTGAAATTACAGATGAAGACATTGACGGTATTTTGGAAAGAGGTGCAAAGAAAGTGAGTGGATATTAGGAACTAGTAGAAAAAGTTATACTAATCCTCTTCATTCAGATTTTGTCAGAAAACGATGTTGACTGTATGAGCACTGTTGTTGTGATAAAGCAGATTGTTACAAAACACTAATTAAAATCTGTTTATATATGTAGACTGCAGAAATGAATGAAAAACTTTCCAAAATGGGTGAAAGTTCACTCAGAAACTTTACAGTGGATACCGAATCTAGTGTGTATAACTTTGAAGGAGAAGATTACAGAGAGAAACAAAAGGTAATGCATTTATTTCCCTTCAATATGTCGGTTAACTTTACTGTCCATTTACAACTATGATGTTTCCATACAATTTTCTAAAAGTACCTTATGTTGCAGATGGCATTCACAGAGTGGATTGAGCCACCTAAACGTGAAAGAAAAGCTAACTATGCTGTTGATGCTTATTTTAGGGAAGCTCTTCGTGTCAGTGAACCAAAAGCACCAAAGGTAGGTGTCATTGAAACTTGTTAAAAATAAAATAAGTAGAAAAGCTTGTAAACTTATTCCTAAAATGTTTTATGCACATCGGTATCCATATTGTATTGATGAAATTTTTGGAATGTAAAACTATTCACAGCAGATTTATATATGCTTTTATTATACTTGTTTCCAACTATGTCTGTTCAGGCAGTGGTTAGAGATAGAATAGAGAATGGTTTTCTTCCCTATAGATTCAGTTTCTAGTTCCTCTAAAAAAACCATATCAGTTCCATTCATTGAAATATTTATTAAATTTTTTATATGTCTATATATGTGTCTGTGAATATATGTTTTGCATTTTGTCATTATTTTTGCTGTCTTTTTTTCTTTCAGTTTACCACTACATTGTTATTTCTTTGTTTTGTAATAATAGCAAACAATGAAAATAAATCAAGCAGAATTGGAGATTGCAGAAATTAAACCATTCGTGTATAGATTTCCTCAATTAATTAACAATTAAGTACATTTATGTATCAGTAGGGAGACACTTTTCGGGGGGGGCAGTAACATAAAATGGAAGTAATTTGTATTTTATGTGAAAATTAAATGCTGCTTAACTTCTGTTACTGAAGTGATTATGATTATAGTGCAATGTGTCTTTTTTTAAAGGCCCCGCGACCTCCAAAACAACCTAATGTTCAGGATTTCCAATTCTTTCCACCACGTTTGTTTGAACTGTTGGAAAAAGAAATTCTTTATTACAGAAAAACTATTGGATATAAGGTATTAGTCATCCATCTTTTGCTTTTTAAATTTAAAAAGTTCTTAATGTTTTACTATATGACAATAAAACAATTATGTTTTTATGTACTCAAAAATGTTTTGAGTAAAGCCACTAGAGGTTTATACAGTATATAAAACTATAATGTTTTTAGAGCATATAGTTACTTATAGAAATATAAATTCCTTAGGTACCTCGTAATCCTGACTTGCCAAATGCATCTCAGAACCAAAAGGAAGAACAAATTAAAATTGATGAAGCTGAACCGCTTAATGAAGAAGAATTAGATGAAAAGGAAAAACTACTTACTCAGGTATTTCTCATCAGCTAGACAAATTATAAACTATCCTTAATTCTTTTTCTAGACTTAGTAGGTACAGTGGAAAAAAAGTGTTCCTATAGTAAAGGAATACAAAATTGAAATATAGTTTTGTTCTACAACTGATCTATACTTTGATGGACATTGTTTTGTCAGTAACTGCATTTTATAAGCTTAGTACAGTCATGTTCTCTGTTGGCCCTTTTTAAAAATTATTCAACTGCACTGTTTTCTATATGAGCCTTTCTTTACTTTATTCTTCAGAATAATATTGGTTTAAGACTTCCAGAAACTAGTGTCCCCCAGTCCAAGTATTGAGAAATTTTTTTATTAATCTTAAATACTGTTCAGTACTGTTGAATACATTCAACAAATTTATCCAGTCCCATCATTCATAGATTGCTTCTGCCAGAGTTTGATGGATACAGTGGCATAGAAATGCCATAAACAAATATTTATTGTGTCGCTTCTTGAGTTGAAATCCAGCAAAGGGAAGAGTATTATTTGTGGGTATTTTTCCCTGAGAAGATACTATTGACCTCTTCTAATCAACTTTATACTTCTGGAGTAGCTTTTACAGTATGAGAATGACCTGAACTTGAATGAACTTGAATGAAATTGAGGATGGTTATTCAGTCATAAAGGATTTATGATTATGAGCTAGGGAGGCAAGAATTGCAGACTTCATTAGTTCTATTAGTGTGGTTATGAATCATGTTTAAAAATACTTAGAAGAATCAGAGTTTATCCTCAACTGGATAGTGTAATTTTTCAAGCTTCAGCTTCATCAACAACTCAACTGAGCTTTGTCTTCTAAAGCAGGGGTCCCCAACCACCGGGCTGCGGAACAACTCCTACCGGGCCGCTGGCTTGCTGGGCGCCGCCATCTTTTTTTCATGAAAAAGTGCTTCCGGTGAGCTTTTCCGGGTAGAAAGCTCACCGGAAGCACGTTTTCATCAAAAAAAGATGGCGGCGCCCAGCTGATGCCGGTACCGGGCCGCGGCGTCAAAAAGGTTGGGGATCACTGTTCTAAAGGACAGTAGTATTAAACACATTCTTTATTCCTTTTTTTTTTTGGAAGGGATTTACAAACTGGAATAAAAGAGATTTCAATCAGTTCATTAAAGCTAATGAAAAATGGGGTCGTGATGACATTGAAAATATAGCTCGAGAAGTAGAAGGAAAAACTCCAGAGGAAGTCATTGAATATTCTGGTAACACTTTTTAAAATTTTTAAATAATGTAATAAAAGCTATATTCACAATCCAGTCTGATACAGTCTGATACATGCTGCCATTTTCATTTGACTCATTTCCATAATATGTGTAACATTACAAACAGTAAAACACTTATAATAAATGTAACATTAAAATGTACATCGTAAATAATAAAATAGTGAAACATTTACTAGAAACAATAAAGCAACATTTGAAGATTAACTTGCAGATTTGCTCTTCTTGCCCTTCTTTTTGGTAGCTTCCACTGGCTTGCTGCCAAAAACCTGCAGAAGACTTTCACTTTATTCCAGGCGAATGAGCATGGACACTGAATGTACACAACTTAAGCTTTAGCAAGCCAAGTACCATAGAGCTTTTTTGTGCATTTTTAAGTGCACATTGATCATCCACAACAAAGGAAATCAAGAGAATATACAGATTGCAATAATGAGCACATCTGTGCAAAAAGAAACTCATTTTTCATTTTCATTTTGCTCTTTTCAAAGCTGGCATTCATCTAGCCAACTGATCTAAAAACATTCATTAGTCATAGAAAACTTGTAAAAATCGGTACTATATTGATGATTTTCAAAACTTAGTGCGAGTGTACATTCTTTATACTCTTTTGTCCTATTGATTGTGAAGATTTCAGACTGCCCTTGAAGATAAGGGCACACTGTTTCAGACATCCTGAAATCAGGATGCCCAAACCCAGGCACAGTATGCACATATAAGCCCCCATCTGTTCTGTTCAAGTTCTGTTCAAGGCCAAAATATGGGTAGTTGTTTTCTTTTATATTCCATCTGCTTTTCTTTTGAAGAACATACAAGTTTTTGTGAGAAGGCTTTAGAATTACACGTAATCCTGCAACATTGTTACCATATTATTATAAAAGCTTTATCTAAGTCCTCTTAGTAGTTAAAATGATTCATTTTGTATCTTCTTTACTGAACATGCTGAATTAACTTTCACTCTTTGTTGGAAAAGAAAGTGTGAGGCACTACATAAGGGGGCAAGATGAGTTAGATTTTCCAGCAATGGGATAACAATCAGGTGCTTGAAAGACCAGCCATTTTAAAATACACACAAATCAGTTTGTCACTGTTAAAGGCTGTGCTTTATGACTGCTTGTGGAAGTAAATCAAAGAGATCTCCTCAGACCTCAGAAAAAGAGTTGTTGATCCCCATCAAAATGAAAAGGCTACACATCCACTATCAAACTTAAAAGAGTCCACAAAAGAATTGTATACTTAGGAAGAAGGAAGAAACCGCTATTCTTTTGAATACACTCTGTCTTGGATTTGCAGAGGACTCCTGGGTAATCCAGTAGATTACCCAGCAATATCCTGTGTTAAATTCTATAGGAAAATGTTAAGGTAAGCTTAAACTTAACTTAAAAATGTGCTCATGCAGCATACCAATCCTAAACAAACAAATCTACAACAAAATGGTTGAAGCAGACCAAATGTCATCTTTTGGGAAGATAAAGGCCTTAAGCCAGTTGGCATGTTATGCTGATTGATGTGAGAATTATGTTAAATCTAAAAAGAAATAAAAATACAAAACTGAACAATAATAGATTTACTTTGCAAGCATGTGAGAGAAAACTAATAAATTACTTACTTTCTTCAGCTGTTTTCTGGGAACGATGTAATGAGCTTCAGGACATAGAAAAGATTATGGCACAAATTGAAAGAGGCGAAGCTCGAATTCAGAGGAGAATTAGTATTAAAAAAGCACTTGACACAAAGGTAATTGCCTTTTAAGTTGTATCATATGAAGAAAAATGGTAAAATATTAATAAGGGATGATACCACTGGTTTTTAAATATTGTCTTTCCTATTTTATTGTCCCAAAGGTGCATTTTCAAGACACAACTTGGACTTTCTGGGTTGTTTTTTTTTTTAAAAAAAAACACGTTTTGCTTTTCATTCAAGAAGCTTCTTGCATGAGAAGCAAAACGTCTTCAAAGAAAAACCAGAAGGTCAGCTGCCTCTTGAAAAAGCACCTGTGGGACAACCATGACCTGGATGACTGAGAGTCTCAATAGACATTCCTATTTTATTGTTATGTTTTCCATATTTCAGAAAATAAAATGGATATGTTTTCTGGTTAACTAAAAGATTGGGAACCTTTCTTTAGCACTTCTCAGCACTTCTTTGTTTCAGGTCCTACTTTTCCTTGGCTTTACTGTGTGCTTCTAGAAATACAGGTAATCCTGGACATACAACTACAATTGAGCCCAGATTTCTGTTGCTAAGTGAGAAATTTGTTAAATGAGTTTTGCCTGGTTTTACAACTTTTCTTGCCACATTTGTTAAGTGAATCACTGAAGTTGTTAATTTATTAACATAAGTGAATTTGGCTTCCCATTGACTTTGCTTGGCCGCAAAAGGGGATCACATGACCCCAGGACACTGCAACCGGCATAAGTTGTCAAGCACCCCAATGTAAGTCACATGACCATGAAGATTCTGCAATGGTCATAAGTGTGAAAAAGGGTCATTATCACTTTTTTGAGTGCCGGTGTAACTAAATGAACTGTTGTAAGTCGAGGACTATCTGTACTTTAAAGCGATGAATTGCTGTCCCTGTACAGAAGAATAGCAGCAATGATTACGCAGGGAAAACATTATAGAATGTGGAGAGTGCATGTTTTTCTACGGCAGGGCTGGCATTCCTGAAATAAAAAGGCCAGAGTAAAAATTATTTCATGACAATGCAATGCGATCAATATTATTACTATTCAGTTTTGTGTTATAGTCTTATTTTTCATTAATAATTGGAGAGCAAATTCTAAAGGTCTTTGAGAGACAAAGTGCAATCATTGGGTTCTTGTGGCAGAAAATGGCAAAAATACTGATTTGTTATTCTAGGTACACTTAACAACTATGTGGTTCTTTTAATAACCTGTGATTGGCTCAACAGTCATAGTGATCCACTTAACAACTGTTGGAAAAATAGTTATAAAATTGAGTCAGGTTACATGGTGACCTGCTTAATGACTGCAACAATTTATGACCAAAATTCTGTGCTCAAATGTAGTCATAAAAAGACTAAGATGTATTTATGACTGTTTCCTAGTATGATTTGTTTGCTTATTGTACCCTATGACTATCATTTAGTGTCGTACCTTACGATTCTTGACTCTTGACGAATGTATCTTTTCTTTTATGTATACTGAGAGCATTTACACCAAGACAAATTCATTGTGTGTCCAATCACACTTGGCCAATAAAATATTCTATTCTATTTTTCTGATCTTTTAAAACTCCAATCCACTGTTCAAATTTGGAAAGAATGTATAAATTTTTGAAAGGTTGCTTTCCTACAAATCAAGAAATCCAGTGGCATTTAAATGTCAGGTTGTCCTATTTCCTCCTGACTTCTAATCTATACATAGCAAGCAGAACTGGTAAACTTATAGTTAAAGCAGTTAATCAAAGGACCCATTATATTGAACAGATTGGGGTATTCTGAGATTGTGGCATTGTTTACTGAATGCTGATGCTTTGTATGTTAACTTACATGTATTTTATTAATTTCCTTTTATCTAGTTTACCCTGGACTTATATCCTGTGTTTTATTTATGTTTTATATTGTTGATATGGTCAGATTAATCACTTATCTACAAATCAAGAGGCTTTTTTGCTGCTAGAAATATGTACTAGCTAAATTTTCATTGAGTGTGTGTGTGTGTGTGTGTGTGTGTGTACTTTTACATGCCATTTTGATTTCCTTCCTTTTCTCAGATTGGCAGATACAAAGCACCTTTTCACCAATTGAGAATATCATATGGTACTAACAAAGGGAAGAATTACACAGAAGAAGAAGATCGGTTTTTGATCTGTATGCTTCATAAACTTGGATTTGACAAAGAAAATGTTTATGATGAATTGAGACAGTGTATTCGAAATTCTCCCCAGTTCAGATTTGACTGGTTTCTCAAGTCTAGAACTGCAATGGTATGTACTAGTTTTTGTTTGATTTTTTTGAATAAGACAAAAAACAAGAAAACCAGTTTGTGGATAGAGAAGACTGTATTATGTGTAGATAAACATTGTTTCTTACAGATGGTCCTTGATTTATGACCACAGTTGCAACCAGAAATTCAGACAATGAGTGGTGGAGGTAATTGAGTTATGTGATCAGACTCAATTTTATGCCCAGCTTTACTGCAGTTGTTAAGTGAATCACTGTGGTAGTTAAATAAATTGCATAGTCATTAAGTGAACCACATGCTTGTTAAATGAATCTGGCTTCCCCAGTTGGCTTTGCTTGTCAGAAGCTAGTAGGGGAGGTCACAAAATGTGATAATGTGACTGCAAGACACTGCAACTGTTGTAAATGCATATTGGTTGCTAAGCTCTGGAATTGTGATCACATGATTGCGGGAGTGGTGCAGTGGTAATAACTTTGAAAATGGGTCATAAGGCACTTCTAAGGCCATCATAACTTTAAACTATGAGTTTAAAACTATGGAAGGGAGGGTATGGCAATGATCTCTTGTTGTTTCTCATAGTTGGGTTTTAATTAATATGATTTATCTCCCTGGTAGATAAGCATGTACAGCTTTTTTGTATTTTATGTTATTTTTTTTACTTTATTGTATTTAGTTGGCTGTAGGAAATGTTCATATACTCATGAAAAAGAAAGAACACTCTCTTTGAGTTCCATGGTTTTATGTATTATGATGAGGATAGGGTGTAATATATCATGTGTTATTCATCTGCTATTGTATTTACCTTTTTTTTTTTTTAAAGAACTGCTAAGGACCTGATGTCTTTTGCTATGTCCTGATGTATAAAACCATGAAACTTAAAGAGGGTTTACTTTCTTTTTCAGGTGACTATAGGTTTTTTCCCCCATTTTCTTATGAATGGAATAAGAATGGGAAAAGGAATGGAATGAGCTAGAAGGAACCTTGGACATCTAGTCCAGCCCCCTACTTAAGCAGGAGACCCTATACTATTTTAGATAAGTAACTGCCCAGTCTCTTCTTAAAAATATCTAGTGATGAAGCACCTACAACCTCTGAAGGCAAGCTGTTCCACTGGTTTATTGTCATCACTGTTAGGAAGTTTCTCCTTAATTTCAGGTTGCTTATCTCTCTTTTATTAGTTTCCAGCCATTGTTTCTTGTCCGGTCCTCTGGTGCTTTGGAGAATAATTTGACCCCCTTTGTGGCAGCCCCTCAAATACTGCAATACTGCTAACATGTCACCTCTATTTTTTCTTTTCTTTAGACTAGCCAAACTTAAATCTTGCAGCTGTTCTTCGTAGGTTTTCGTTTCCAGGCCTTTGATTATCTTAGTAGCTCTTCTCTGAACTTTATCCAAAATCTTTTTCAACATCTTTTTTGTAGCATAGTGACAAAAATTGGTTCCAATATTCTAGGTGTGGTCTTACTAGGTTTTATAAAGTACTAATATTTCACGTGATCTTGATTCTATGCTTCTGTTTATACAACCCAGGATTGTATTCACTTTTTTTGCTGCTGCTGCACACTTTGAATCTATAAACATTAAAAAAATATTATTAAGTATCCATTCACCTTTGCAGAAATAGGTCATGCTTAATTTTGTGTGAGGTACAGGTTCTACCAGCTTCCATTGAAACATAAAATTTGATGAGGAATGCCTAAACATCTCCATCCAATTGTACATTTCGAGCAGCATAGTAATTGTGTAAAAAAAATGGTTTTTAAAGTAGGCCTTATTTACCAATCACAATTGGGACTGGGAACTTTTGTTACACAAAGCAGTCAGTAAGTGGAAAATCACATGACCATGCCATGGGCTTTTTCCATTTCCCCTCCCTTTGAGATGCTCATTCTGGCACTGGCACTGGGATAATTAGCAATTAAGTTTTGTATTTTCATTCGTTAGAGAGGGAGTCATTACAAGAGAATAAACTTATTGAAAAGAATGTGCTGCCTGGTGCAAATGATGATGATATCTAGTTGGATTATGAAATGTCTGCAAGCAAACAACCAAGTTCAGTTTCAAATAGTCCACTTTGTTCTTAACTAGGGACATAATTCCATTCAAAATATACTGAAGATTCTATGCTTCATGTAATAGTAACCCAAAAGGGACACTGCCATTTTTATTGAAGTAGTATAACTATTCATTTTTTTCTGTTTTTATTCTCTGCCTCATTTCTACCCCACCAAGAGAAGTTCCTTCCATATGTTGTACTGCTTATAGTATAAATATCGAACTTTGTTGTTATTCTTCAGAAATGGTTCATACAGCTGTACATTTTTTTTAAATTTGAAAGCTTGCCTTCATAGCTCAGTATTACAGGGTTCATTTGGTAGATGATCGCTTACCTTCCAGGTGTTTAGTGCTACATCACCATAAAATCTCATTGTTGAATATGATTCCCAAGGAATGGAGCTGTAGTTCCAGATACATAGTACAGATATCCCTCGAGTTATGAATGTAATGGAGTGTGCCCATTCCATTTGTAACCCAAGGATTTGTGGGAATGAATCTCATACTTTGAACATGATCACTTCCTCCTTTCTCCCATGCATTAACTAATTGAATGTGTGGCTCGTTAAATGCACGTGAGGTATTTCAGGGTGGGGAAGACCATGGGGAGACTAGTGATGGAACAGGCCACCTGCTTCAGACTACCCAAGACCTCCTGACCCAAAGATATCCCATTCTCCCTCCCCTGGGATCCCAATTGCTCCCTACCATCCTGTTGCGCCGGGTCACTTACCTGATGAAGATATTTCCTCTGCAGCCTGTTTCTTTGCCTTCTCTCTCCTTTTTTGTTGCCAAAGCCTTCCTCAAGCAGATTAGAGGTGAGAAAGGACGCCTGGAAGGGTGCGCACTTTCCGGCCCTCCTTTCTCGTTATCAAACAGCTGGAGGATGGCTTCAGTGACAAAAAAAGAGCCCCAGAGGTTCATGTGCGCCATTTCGGGCTTTCTTTCTCGCTGCCAAACTGCTTGATGACAGCTTACAGCTACAAAAAGGAGGCCCGGAAGGCCGTGTGCACAATCCAGGCCTCTTTTCCTGTCACTGGAGCACTTGAGGATTGTGTCCCTGTAGGCTTCAGCAACCCTTTGCTGGTAGGAACAGAGCTTTGGAGAGAGGCGTCTGCCTCTCCCAAACTACACTGGTGTAGACAAAGGTTTTTTTTTGCAAAGGACTGCCGAAGCCTACAGGGATGCAATCTTCCTGCAGATTTTGGTAAGGAAACGGCAAACGGAGGGAAGGCCTGAAGCCTTCCCTCCATTTGCAAATATCCAGGCCTCAATTCATAGAGAATAGAGGCCTAAAGTACAAGATCACATAAGATCTCGCACTACTGATCTCGCATGATCTCTCAGTATGTTAGGCCTGTTTTCTATGAATGCACCAAAAGCCTGAAGCAAAAAAGTAGGCAAAGAAACTGCGACAGAGATCTTCACAAGGTGAGTCTCCACAGGTGGAGTGCCTGCGAAAACCCGGCGGGGTGAATGTTGTAGACCTTCTGTAGTCATTCGTAAGGACAAACAAGTGCTGTGATGCTGCAACATTTATAATTTTGGAACTTGTTCCTAAACGCTAGGGGGTGCTAAGCACATAACTCTGAATGATTGCTAAGGGAATGCTCGTAACCCGAGGACTACCTGTAGGTATAAGTTGTTGACAAACAGCTTTTTAACATGGCTAGTTTGGAAGGCTGGAGGGATTATTCTACAGATTTTTCCAAAGTTTTGTCTTACATGTGGAAGCATCTATACAGTGGAGATGATTAGAAAGAACATAATGTAATCACGTGAAGTTCTTTGTGTAGTGGCAATTACACTATTGAATCTCCTGTTTGCTTTTGATTCAGGAATTACAAAGAAGATGTAATACCTTAATCACTTTGATTGAAAGAGAAAACATGGAATTAGAAGAAAAAGAGAAGGCAGAAAAGAAGAAACGTGGACCTAAACCATCTTTGGTGAGAGTAAAATCTGTTTGACTGAAGATTCAGATGAAAGAAAATGATAAATAATAATACGTATGGGAAAAGATTATGAATCCATAGTAGTTATAATTTCCTGTTCTACTCTTTTAAACAACACATATTAAGTCTAGATTTGTAGCATTAATCATATCTTTACATTACTTCATGGTGTATAATTGACCAGTGTTTTAAGATAGCCTTTTCTAGACTCCTTTTCCCATATTATAAAAACTTTTTTTAAAAAAATTAAAATATGAATTTGATATACAATGAAAAACAAATTATAAAATGTTTTAACCTCACTATAGCTTTAGAGTAATTTAAATCATGATGAACAAAATTCTCTGAGCTGAGACTCAATTTTTCTCTTTTCTCATTCAGACACAGAAACGTAAATTGGATGGTACTCCTGATGGAAGAGGAAGAAAAAAGAAACTAAAGCTGTGAATACTGAATTCTTTTAATCACTAAACTTAAGCTAGTTCTTTAATTTTACGGGTCTTCATAAGATGTACTTTACAATTCTCAACTATTATGTCATTAAAGGACATTGGGTTCATGTGTTTGTTTACTTGCTGAACTAGAAGAGTAACGTAGTGTCACGTTTTTAAATAAAACAGCTGTGCTGAACTTTTTTTTACCATTAACACTTGAAATAAAAAAATAGGCTTCACCTAGTAGTTGATTTTTTAATATGTATATATATATATGTATATGTATATATTGTTCAATTCTTTATTTCACCAATATGCTAAATTACACTATCCGCTAATAGTTTATAGATATAGTGCTTAGGTTTCCCAGGCTTTAACGTTTTCAATGTATGTCCTTAGCTGTTATGGACATATACCCAGTGAAAAAGAAACCATTTATCACTGAGCAAATTATTTAGAATTATCCATGCTGTTCCTTTGGTTTTCCAAGATGATCTCTGTACTTTAGCTTAACTTTTGCCTTTTTAAATAGGCAGTTAAAGATATCAAACATCCAGCCACCCAACATTTTTATTTTCTATGAAAATGTCTGTGGGACACAAAAGTGTCATTGGAAATATTACATTGGAATTTGTGCTTTGCATTATAGGATAGAGTCAGTCTTGTTGATCAACAAAGTAACTATGGTTGTTGTGCTTATCTCAGTCATTTTTCCCCTTTTGGGGACTACTTTTTCTTTTTACTTGCCAATTATTATATTCTGCTCAATCATAATAGTAATAAGACAAGAAGCCAAGAATCAAACTGTATTCCCATTTGTACATCATGTTAACTGCATTAGTAACTGGTAAGCCAAAGAAAATCATCTCAAATTAGCTTATTACACAATAACCAGAAGAAGAGGATAGAATAATGTTTAAGTGAAAACCTTTCCACTCAAATTTTATTTCTAGATTTCTCACAGAAAACAAGAATTAGTCTTGTTCTTGGTTGTGCTCTTTAGTCCACCTAATAGAGGTACGGTTTGACTGCTTTCTATATAACCTTCACTTATGCTATCCCTGAAAAAATGGTCACTTAGCAGTCACTGGTAATGATCAAGCTTTGCATGTACAACTGAAACATTCTGATCATGGATTGAACTTTTTATTTCATCATTCAATTGTGGAAACCACCAACTTCACACTTAGCCTATCAATTTACATTGTTATAATAAAATGTAATTAGCTAATATGGTCATGTGAAAAAGAAAGTACACCCTCTTTGAGTTCTATGCTTTTATGTATCAGGACATAGTAAAAATCATCTGGTCCTTAACTGTTCTTAAAAATAGGTAAATACAACCTCATATAAATAACAACGTATGTCATCATTTATCTTACAAAAAGAAAGCCAAAATGGAGAAGCCATGTGTGAAAAACTAAGTACATCCTTACAGTTCCCATAGGTATGAAGAGCCTAAATATCAGCCAGATGCTGCTAATCAAGCCCTTGATCAATTAATCATCAGCAAGTGTGACTACCTCAATAAAAGCCAAAGTTTTAGGAGTTTGTTTTTTAGCGTTGAGGTGTGTGTTACAATGTCAAAGTGGAAAGACATCAAGCAATGATCTTAAGAGAAGTAATTGTTGCCACCTATCAATCTGGGAAGGGTTATAAGGCTATTTCCAAACAATTTAAAGTCCATCATTCGTGAGGAAGATTATTCAGAAGTGGAAAACATTCAAGACAGTCAATCTTCCCAGGAGTGGCAAATTCAATTCAAGGTCAAACTGTAATGGTCAAAAAAATTGCAAAAAACCCCACAAGATCTCAAACGCTACAGGCCTAAGTTAGCATTAAATGTTAAGTTCATGACAAATTAGAAAAATACTGAACAAGTATAGTTTTGGAAGGGTTGTCAGCAGAGAGTCTCTTCTCTCTAAAAAACATTGCAGCAGGCTTAGGTTTGTGAAGTTGTATCTGAACAAATTGTAAGACTTCTGGAACACTGTCCTTTGACAGATGAGACCAAAGTGGAGATGTTTTGCCATAATGCAGGGGTGCCCAAACTTGGCAATTCTGGGAGTTGAAGTCCACAAGTCTTAAAGTTGCCAAGTTTGGAGACCTCTGCAATGATGCATAGTGCTCTTTTGGCAGAAATAAAAAAAAACAGCATATCAGTACAAACATCTCATACCAACTGTCAAGCACAGTAAAGGAGGGCTTGATGATTTGGGCTTTTTTTTGCAGCCACAGGACTTGGGTACTTTGCAGTCATGAGTCAACCACAAATACCAAAGTATTGTAGAATCAAATCTGAGGCCATCTGCCGGCCATCTGCTAAAGTTTAGTTGACGTTAGGTCATGCAACAGGACGATGATCCTGAGCACAGCAGCAAATCTGTAACAAAATGGTTGAAAAAGTGTTGCAATGGCCCAGACCTCAACCCAATTGAAATGCTGTGGTGGGACCTCAAGTGAGCTATACATAAACAAATGCCCACAACCCCGATGAATGGAAGCAATGTTGTAAAGAAGAGTGGGCCAACATTCCTCCACAACGATATGAGAGACTGATAAAGTCATATAGAAAATGATTACTTCAAGTTGTTGCTGCTAAAGGTTCTACAGGCGTTTGAATCATAAGTTGTACTTAGTTTTTCACACATGGTTTTTCCATTTTGGCTTTCTCGTAAAATAAATGATGACATGGTGTAATTTGTTGTATTTACCTACTTTTAAGAATTGCTAAGTATCTCATGATTTTTACTATGTCCCGATATGTAAAATCACAGAACTCCAAGAGGGTGTACACTCTTTCATATGACTGTATATATTTTACATTAGGAAATGTTAGGAATAAAACAGGAAAAATCTATGTAAGGATACATTTTAACATAGTAATTTTATATTTTCTAATTACTTGAAAATAAAAGAAAATGTGTTTTGGTTCAATGAATTGTTCTGTTTTTTTCTACAAAAAAATAATGGGCACTTGTACCAGCTAAATTCAAATTATTTTCTGTCCCTACCACTTTCTTAAGATTTTATTAATCAGAATGCAATCAGTAATGTAATTTCTGGCAAGCATATCTTACAATTCGTATCAATCAAAGGCTACAGACAACTTACAAGTGTAGCAAAAAATAATAATATATTAAATATAATTTAATTCTGGTTTATTAGTTTATTGTAGTAAACCTGTAGTAAAATTAACTCTGTGGTTTTGCAGATTCCAGGCTTTCAACTTTAATAACAGCATAGTTTAGTCTTTTACACTACTGTCATGACATTTACATTTAGTATCTGACTTTATGCTTAGGCCTAATGCCTTAGTTAAAGCAATATGACCACAAATGGAAAAAACACTTGTGTGAAAAAACAATTTTTTTAAAATGGTCTCTGAAAGAGTATTTTGGTAAATTCAAAGGGCATGAGCAGTATACCATAATACACGAGTGAAATAGAGTGTTTCTGTTCTTGATAACCTAGCTTTACCTTTCCTTTGAAATAAGTGAGTTGACTTATAATAAGTATACAGATATATGCCTTACATATTTTACATCCGAAATGCAATATAAATTGCAGCAATCTACTATTCAAGGACTTTTTATTCTACATTAGGAACACTAATGAAAGAATGCTTGTATTTTCGTGGCTTTCCATCTTTCAGTTGCTAAATGAAAAATAGACTGGATGACTGTACCAATTGTCATAATTTACAGTAAAACTTTGGAAAGAGATCTCATGGAAGCAAATCTTATTCCAGGTAGTGTGAATAAAATTGCAGCCTTATCAGAGTACCAAATGCTCTCCTCTTACAGAGCAATGTACAAGCAATGCATACCATTTTTCAAAGGCTGTTTCAAGATGTTCCTTTCAGAGTTTGCTTCCTTCTTTAGTGCTTCAACATAAATAACATATGTATCATATTAATGAAATAACCCTCCAACTGCTTGGTAAATATAAGTGGTAATCCTGGAAATGTGAAAGTCTACAGTTATTAAGATTAAACTCATGATTTTGACAGAATAAATAACCAATGATTAACATATGATAAATTTGTTCATAATCAACCAAGTATATAAACCATATTATTGCGCTAATTAAAATCTTGCAAATTTTGACTTCCTTTAAGCAAAAGAACCTTGTCAATTTTACATTGAGAATTTTTCAAACATATATTTCTTCATAAATGAACCATTAAACTAGTTTGGCTTAACAAAAAAGAAGGGACAAGGAGGAATCTAAACTAGCTGCTATGTCTAGGCAGATAAAAGGTACTGAAGAAAATATAGCATGGTCCTCTGATGTGAGTAACTTGAAATTAGCTGGTACAGGTGAATAAAAATATATTGCTATTGTTATTTGGAAAGGTATTATGGCTATTCATGCTAGCTTTGAAAGCCACAAATGTCGGTTTGTTTTAATGAATAGTAGAATAAATGCAATAAAAAGGTAAAGATTCCGCTCACACTCCGGTCCTGGGGGGTGGTGCTCATCTCCATTATAAAACCGAAGAGCCAGCACTGTCCAAAGATGTCTCCGTGGTCATGTGGCCTGCATGACTAAATGCCGAAGGCGCACAGAAAGCTGTTACCTTCACCACCAAAATGGTCCTATTGTTCTACTTTCAAACTGCTAGGTTGGCAGAAGCTGGGACAAGTAATGGTAGCGCTAGGGATTCGAACCGCCGAACTTTCTGATTGACAAGCTCAGCGTCTTAGACACTGAGCCACCCTTATATAACCCTTATACACCGCATCTTATACAATGCACTTTTCCAAATAATCTTGAAATGTGTACTGCCCTATATAAAATGAAAGAAACAGCAGCAGCAGCAGCAGCTGGAAGATCTATTATTAACAATTTTCTTCTATAAAGCAGGATATTTTTATGTGTTAGTTATTTTTGCCTGATCAGCTAATAAACACTATGAATTAAAATATTTAAAGGACACTAGCATACAGTATTAAAACTCATAGAGATTTGTCAGTAGTAGTCTGAGAATTTCTTTCTAGACAAGAAATGATAGATATAACTATTGCACAATGAATTATATCAATTAAAAAGGTGAATCTTAATTAAATTGTTTATAGACAAATTAGTGTCCAAGCACCATTAACAGGAGTTTCCTCCTAAGCATGAGAAAAAAGAAACTCTTTGTTTTAACACAAATGCTGTTAAAAAAATAAAACTGGCTGTCCAATTAACCAGGGATAGTTTTTAGTATATTAAAATACTTTCCACAGCATCCTCTGATTAATTAAAGCTTTGATCTCACATAGACATTTACAATGAGTAGATCCTATTGAAATTGGTGTAGCTTCTAAATAAGTTGGTGCAATCTTATTATTAATGTACTTTGATTTTCTGTAAGAAAACTCATTTTGAATCTAAAACTTTCAAGTTGTCTGGGACAAAAACCTAATACGTGATAAATATATAAATTCTGTAACCAAATTCAGTATATGCTGATTAATTCAACACCACAAAATCTCAACAAATAGAGGCAATAACTTACTTATTTTGGAATTATATAGATTCTATCAGTCTGGCATGGAAAGTTGCTTTAAAACTGAAAATAATTCTATCTAGTTTTCATAATTAAAGTTGAAATAATAAAGGGGCTTACCAGCTTTGAAAATATGGCACTATTTTATTCAAATAATAGTAAAGTGCCATCTTGATTCTCCTAAAACAATATTGAATAGCCCTTTCCCAGAATGATTTCTTTTCAAAATAACATGGTAATAATTGTCCCATAATTTTTTAAACAGTTGCATGTATTGACACAAAATTTACTATGATTGCTTAGCTAAGTAGTAGTAGTTGTTTTTTTAAAAGAACACTCTGAAAAGAAATTTCCAAGCAGTTAAGGTCATGCAAATTATTCACAAAGTTTTACAATATTTTCCAAGTTCCATTAGGAGAGAGCTATTTGAACTAACATAAATAAAATACGACTAACCACAAGCAACTGGAATAATAATCTAATAATGAGTTAGTTTTATGACATTTATGTTACATAAGTACAGAACATTGCAGAATGTTGTATGAAAGACTATTTGTAATACCTGTATATTAAAACATTCAAGAAACATTCTCTTTAAATAAGTTCAGTATTTTTCCAATACAGTGTTTTGCTTATCAATACAGATTCCATTGAGATTTAATTATAGATATTTGCTTTAGTTAAAATTTTACCTTTTTTTTCTTAACCTCCCTCCCACTCTTTCATATAAAAATGGTATAAATCTAAATACTATACAACTTAATGAAAAGGAAATCAATATCCCTTTGAATAGCACCAGGCTTTCACGTTGATAGATAAGGCACACATACCTGCTAATGGATTTTTTTAAAGCACCATTTCAGGGGGGAAATGCTAAATTTAATTAACATTTTATTCCAGGAGATCATCCTGTGTTCCTGGGAGTTGGTTGGTGGGGAAGTTATAAATAAGTCACATTTTTATACAGATTATCTTTGCTATACTTGTCTTCCAAATGCTGGAATCTCACACAACATAGCACCAAAACTGCAGCAGCCTAATTCCATGTCTACCCCACCTCCAGCCCGGCCCCATGTGGTTTCCATTATGTAAGATCTTCAGAGTCATCAATGCTGTTAAACTTCAGAGCTATCATTATTGCTCTGCTGTGTAGTCATAGTTTCATTACTGTTGGAATGATTGGGAAATGAGCTTGTTTTTCCATCAGTTGAATGTCCCTTACGCTTCAGAAGTAATATAATAATTATAACAGTGCAGAGAAGAAGCAATAGTCCAATTGCACCTCCAATAATGGGAATTATCTTGTCTTCTGCATTACTTCCTGGAATTTGCAGGACTGGCTTTTCATAGGGTTTACCTGCTGGAGACCATTCTTTTTGCTTGAGGGTAATTTTATTAGATCGGTCAAGAACTATATGCTGGATATTTGTTCCTCTATTCTTATCAGTACCAATATCTTGGGCAACTGCAGGAATATCAGAAACAGCTCTCCGAGAGCGACTAAGATGTGAGGTGCTGTTATTGCAAGATAAAACATGGTGATCCTCAATACTTCTTTTTCCAAGGCCCTTATGAGCATTTTCACGTGATCGAACCATGTAGATGGTGTGGATGTACCATTCTCGACCCACTGCCACCTATTAGATTAAAAAATAAACAAACAGATGAAATTTAAAAAAAATTAGAAAACTAAGCAAAATGAAAAAGACAGTAAGACTCCAGTAGCTGCACATCTAACCTGCATGTATTAGTTTTCATGCAATAACAGTATGATCCATCACTTTTTTTTTTACCTGAAATAATGGAGTTGACAGCAGGCTGAAACCATCAGAACCAGGCTGTTTTACCAAAGGATAGCCATCAATGTGATCAACTGCTAATTTGGCGTGGAATGCCATATTTCCAAACATTTTTGCTTGTGTATCTGGTTGAGCTTTATCCTAGGGAATAAAGAAATAATGGTATATTATTAAGTTTAAACTTAAAAATGATGTTTATGAGAATCTATTAGCCTAGTATTAGAATACATTACCAGGATTTTGAATCTGTACAATAGGGAAGGTGAGTCAGCTAGGCAACCATATTCTTTGTTACTTGGATTATACTTGGGAACATACCCATCGGCCCCTGTACATAAGAACACCTTCTCAATGTTACAGAAGAAAGATTCCCCTAAATTCTGAACAGGATCCACCATGACACGACCATAGATTTCTGAACCTAAAATTAAAGAAGCATGAGTTCAAAATCAACTGTGGTTCAAAAAGCCGTCGGATGTATTTGCCCAAAATCTTAAATTCAATAACCAAGTAATAATATTTCATGTGACAGAAAAGTAAAATTAACCAGACTAAGATAATCACATTAACCATAAGTTGAATTCACTTTAAATATTTTAAAAAAATCAAATTTGTTTTTTTTACTCCAGATCAGTTTATGACTTTGAAAAAGTGGCTCTTGGCATGCCATTCAAGGGGGAAATATGATCTCCAAGCCTGCAAGTTATTACACAGACTAATATGTACAGTAAATCCAAATCCTATATTCCTAGATGTAATCATGTTGTTTGAGTAGCTAACAAATTGCTAATCAATTCAATCAATAATTAAATATTACTAATGCTAAAATTTAAGTTTAAAAACCCTACAATATAAATTAAATAAATGTGTAACTGTACAATGAAATAATGTAAGTCACAATTTGCATTTAAACTACAAAGGCCTGAAATTTGTGAACAACAATATTTATGAACAATATATACTTGGCATATATTCATAACATCAACCCAGCATGCTATCGCTTTAAGAAGATATGCTAGGGCCAGGAAGCCGGCATAGGAAATTATTTTCCATGCATCACCGCACACTGCACTGCACTTAGAGAAGAAAAGGCATGACATTCTGGATAAACTAGATTTCTTTTACACACACACACAAAATGGTTGGCTAGTATTATTTCATAATTTCATAATTCTATATAAATACTGCCCTTGAGCTATTAAGATAAATGCTTAATATTGCTCTTAGATGCTTAGTTCAGCATTTTACTTGCTCTACTGAAAATCCCTGCAATTCTATTTTTCTTCACTAGGGGTCAGCCTTTATGCAGGACACAATTAAAGATAATTTATATGATGTTACACTAGTGATTTAATATATCTTTTGGTCATCCCAGTTACAATTTGAGCTAAAAACAGGAATTCTGCTTCCTAAGGAAAACATTTTTGCAGTCACATTATACAGTGCGTTTTAATTTTCTGAAAGAACCATTTCATAGAAAGATGATTGTTCATCTATACCACTGTAATTTTACGGTAAATATGCTTTTTAATTCATAGTACAAGTGGACAAAAATCTCCTTCTTTCTCAATAACAAATATTGTAATATAAGAGGACAGGATTCCTCAGAGCATTATCCCATGTAAATTAACAAAAGAGATTTGACAAGTGTGGCTAGAATGGTTCATTAGTCTACTTGGCTATTATGTTAAAGGAGACTTTACCCTCTGTGAATGAGACGTCAGTTTCTTCCCCAAATCCCAGAGAGCCATCAGACAGCCACAGATCCTTCTTGGATAGCAGAAACATTTGAGTATTGAGATTAAATTCAGCTGCTACTGGGTCACTGACCTGCATAAAGAAAAAAACTATTTAGGGAAGTAATTTCAATAGTCTCTCTCTAGCAAAAATCTAGCAATAATTTAATTGCGGTTTATTCTCAAGATTATTAGAAATACTCAAGAGAGTTCAAGAGAGTAAAGCTAAAGAGGAGAGTGTGGTCCATGATTTGTGTTCATAAATCATTGCTTCAAGAACTAGGTGCTTTGTATAGTGCCATTGTTCTACATAAATGTGCAACCTTGAATTCCTTCTCACAGCCTTCTTCAAGAATAAAATTTGTAAATATAGGCTGATTTGATCAAACAACCTAAAGGAAATATCGTAGAGCAGGTTGGAATCAGGCAGTATCCAACTTGATTGGCTGAATGAATAAAGAAATATTGTTTTTTCATAGAAAGAAACAGCAATCATAAGTAGATGCTCCAGTCAAAAAAGCCCAAACCCAATTTATGTCTGGCAATATTCAATTCTGCTGAAAACAATTCCTGTAATGCAATTTTATCCAACATAATGGCATCCAGATCGGCTGGACCTACAATTCATTTATTGGAAAGCATAGTCTTAAAACAACTGATATAGCATCGTTATAGAAGGTTGTTATAAGATAATTCTCCTGCACTAAGGTGGCTTCTAATAATCCATTATAAGGCAGAATCCATTATAATCTATTATACAGAAAAGATTGCATGATATTCTAGAGAGATGCAACTGTGAGATAACATTTATATGACTAAATGTTACTAGAAGCGAGGAAAGAGTTTAATATATGGCTGTTATTTTCGACTGTCAATTCTAAATCAGAGACATTTATAGGTATACTCAGTGTTTAGTGCTATAATCTCTACCTTAAAGGCAATATAACCTCTAGGCCACAGTTCTCAAATCTGACACTTTTCAGATATGTTGCAATTCTAATTGTCAGAATTCTAAAAGTTTAGCTCTAATGCTACCTCAGGTTGAGAAAAACAAAAAAAAAAATGACTAGATTTTGATTTGGAGATAGTGCAAAAGTGAAAATGTGTTGTTAGAATTTTAAATATTTAGTGCCCAGCTTTCTAAGTCACTTTATAACAACAAACATGTAAAACTAATTCAGATGTTTGGCCCTAATACTGCAATTAAGCCAATGTAATTATCAAGTGATATTTCAGAGAAATGTATCAAAACGCTTTATTAGTTGAGAACATTAAAGTCATGAAATACTTCACCTGCTGGAACCTGATATCTAGTTCAAAAGTGATTGGCTCCCGTGGGCTGCAGATGACAGGCTGGGTGTATTCTTGGCTGGGTGTGGCAACACAGGGGAGAAGTTTCACAGTGTAAGTGCCAGAATAGTCACGTACCTGGAAAAAGACACAGAAACTAAAATACAGGTAGTCCTTGAGTTACAACCACAATTGAGCCCAAAATTTATGTTGCCAAATGAAACATTTGTTAAGTGAGTTTGCTCCATTTTACAACTTTTCTTGCCACCATTGTTAAGTGAACCATTGCATTTGTTAAGCTAGTAACATGGTTGTTAGTGAACCCAGATTCCCCATTGACTTTGCTTGTCAGAAGGCCACTAAAGCTGATCTGGAGTGACCCCAGGACACTCCAACCGTCATAAAGACGAACCACTTGCCAAGCACCTGACTATGGGGATGCTGCAATGGTCGTAAGTATGAAAAACAATCATAAGCCACTTCATGCTCTTCTTTTCTGACAAACCTTAACCTAATATAACATTCTGCATAAATAACACTACAGCAAAGATGTGTATATTGAGCTTAAGAGGTACAGTATTTCAGTGATACTGAAAGACACAAAACTGACTTGCATTCTTACTGCATATGCATGTAAAAATATTTGCTCCTAAGCCATCCAAAGTCTATTTTCAAGCTGTACATTACAAGTTCATTTACCTGTGATTATTTACAGCACACTAAACATTATTTTAAAAAGTAGGTTAGTATGAAGCTAATCTATATCTCAGCATCACAGACAGCATTAAACATAAAGAAGTTTAATATTGGCCCTTTTTAAAAAACAATATAAACTTCCACAAAATACTAATGTTAGTACTCACAGCAAAATCGGAAAGAAACTTCCATTGCTGCATTGGCTGATTGAAAGTTTGCTCACTTTGAGAAAGGTTCAATGTGAATGTAAGGCCAGGATGGTCAGATGACATCACCATAGAAGCCAGAGAAGTGCCTGCAAAAGTGAAATACCTGTTTTATGGTGAAGTTCATAGATGTTATCCAACACACTGGGGAATGGAACTATCTTTCCTATTCCAATTTAGGAAAATCAGGATACAAGGAGATGGACTAGCACCAGTGGGTAGTGTAGAATCAGCAAATCCTTGCTGTGTGTTTTGAAGACAGAAGGAAATTGGCAAAAATGTGCTCTTCTCTTCTCATTAGGGAATCCAAAGCTTTTCATGAATAGATGATAAAATCCAGTTCGAGCCATAAGTTCCTTACTGTTTATTAAATCCCAAAGTCTGTTGTCATAGACCCACAAAGAGGTTTTTGGCTCAGAAAAGATACTCAGAAAACATACAAAATGCTGGCCTTACCTGGGTGGGATATTATGAACTGCCCCCTGAATCGAATTTCAGTCCTGAAATGGACCACCAATCGCCCTTCATCATTGATTTGCATACTGGTTGGGTAAAGAGACCCTAGATGTAAGCAGCCATATTATTTTAGAAATATTCATAAAAAGACTAGTTGTTTAGTATCATTCAAATGTGTTGGATTGCAAGTACCACAAGACTTAGTCAGCATTGTGTCGATTAAGGAGCCGAAATCATTGCTATGATAAAATAAAGCAATACACATGGAAATAGAGTAACATAAATCATTCAAATTTTGTTTTAAAAAATAAGCTTGGCTTTGAAGCAAGCTGTCACTGTGCAAATGGCTGGATAAAGTTGTTTACCACAATCTAGCCTAGAAACCAGATATTCTTTTTTGGTGAAGTTCCATATAGCCACGAATGGCTAATTGTGTCTAAGAGGCTGATTTTTCACATCCTGTAGTAGCCAGTTCTCCAGACTAATCTCGTAAGGTAACAAGGTTCTGGGCAAGAAAAAAAAAAGGAAATATTTATAATTTACCTTGCAGTTCTGCTTCTGGTGGACTTCCAATGCCGTCTTTCCATAGAATTGCAGTATCATACACAAAGGTGAGCCTCAACTCAGATTGCAGGTCAAAATGTTGCCAGCCCCCAACTGCTGCAGGTGAATGGAAGACATAAGACACATAGAGGGGCACTCGAAGAGTGACATATGATTGAACCAGATTCAACACCTGAAAAATAGCACAGCATTAAATCACCCTATGTTCATACAGAATCTTCAGCAGTTAAAATCACAGCTCTTCTGAACACAGTATAAAATCTCATCATCATAACTTCCTTTTGGTCCCTTGTTTATTTATTTTCTGATATGTGTTGGCTCCAGAACAAGCATTTCTTGTTGTACTTAGAAATCTACTTTAATGCTTTAAAAATTAATTTACAACTTATGGTGAAGTGTGAGAGAATGAAATGTAGGCCAAAACCTAAGCAGGCAGCCCTCTTCCTGGCTTCTGAAACGCAACCCTGGCAAAGAACAAATCCCACTCTAAAATCAACTTGACAGTCATCCCAGGGTGTGTGGCAATCTAAGATTACAATCAAGGCCCTATTATGGGATTAAATTGATACTAAGAATCTCACATTCATCTCTTACCTCCGGTGCATTGCAGTCCAACTTTTCAAAAGTAAACTTGCTCATATTCAAAAGTATAGTTTCTGATCATTAAAGATAAGCATCATTATCACCAATTTCCTTTCCTGCTTTTACAACTGATAGCAAATCAGATGAAGAATAAGAAGTGAGCTAATCAAAGCCTGCATTATTTACTAACACTCTGGATTAAAACAAAAACTGGCACCTAACACTCAAAATTATCTTCAGGATTTCAAGCAGTTGAGAATATTTTTAAACCTCAAAGCAAAACGGAATGTAACCACCCATCAGCAATGGTTTATAATAATATAACTCTGATTAGAATATGACATGCAAGTCAGATTTTTTAAAAATAAAATTAATTGTAGTTTGAGCATAGTCCTCTACTTTTTACCATCACTGAATTTTGTCCTTCCTTCAATTAGCTCTACCCAGACATTTGGAAAAACACTGCTGATTTTAAAGCAAGAGGCAATGTTATTTCCTCTCATTAAGTTGGATGTTATCCATTAGTAATACATTGATATTATCAGGTTTTAAGCTCAAATGAGTTCTGCCACCATGAATAAACTAAACCAGGTTTTTTCCTCCTTTATATGGCTTGTCCATTTGGTGCATATTAGTACACTATTGCCTCATCAGGCACATTCTGAAATATATAAGATCTTATTTGGCTACCTTTTAAGTTGCCCTAATTCATGAATCACAAAAATTAATGCCTGTACTATCTTTGTCAGGACACTCATGCAATCATTTGACTTATGTTCACACCAAGTATATTAGGATCATGTTCAGTCTTTGGGAGTTAGCATATAAAAGAATCATGAGTACGATGGCAGTTTTTTTCTTTGCCTATGTATGGAAGTTCCATCGTTTTTAAATTAATGGCGCTTAGGAGGTCTGGTCTCTATAATTTTATTTTCAGACTGTTATACTCTTGTTAGACATTAAGCTGTCTGCCAAATTTTCCTTCAATCTTAGCTACACAGACACATTTCTCCTTTTTATAGTCATTCTGTTTTGATTATACATTATGTATTCATTCAATATTCATTATATCACTTAAAAAATAACAATTTGTTTGAAACTCCAAATAATTACTTTGCTCGTAAGAGCATCCTTTTTAATACACTATCAGCAAAGCTTTTTATTGCCATCTAGTTTGATTTTCTAATTGAATTGAACTATTATGGGCATTAAGCACAAAATTGTTCCTTGGCTTTGTTTTACACAATGCCTAGATTCTGCAACTTTATTACTTTATTCATATGTGAATCAGAAAATAATGGGTCTTCAACAAACAGTAATAAACTTCTGAGTTCAGCTACATTATTGATCCATCTGCCACAAATCTTCTTTCCTGAATAGCAGCAAAACTCCAAGTAACGGATAGGAATTTCCCTCAAAGAGGTTAGGAAAAAGGTGATATGAAAGCTTTGCTGTAGACAAGATTGGATCAGAATATATAATGGAACCTTATTACTCATTAATTGGTTCTGAGAGATGCAACGAGTACTAAAAATGATGAGTACCAAACAAAACTATGTGATTTATCACACGACCCTTTGTTTTGGCTTGGAAGAATTTCCTGTTTGTCCCTTTTCTTATGACAGTGGCCTTCCCAGCATGGCCAACTTCCTGTCTGCCTTTTGAGGCTGTCCCCACTTCCTTTTGCAGTGACCTTCTTGGTATGGCTGACTTCCTGTCTGTTCTCCACAGGTGTCCCCCTCTTCCTATTGCAGCGAGTCGAGTATCAAACAAAAGACAAGTATCAGTACAACATTTTCATGTCAAATTGCACTGAGTACCAAATTCAATGAGTTTTGAAGCAGTTGAGTACTGAGGTAACACTGTATATTCTGATTCTGTATATTATTGGTTTAAATGAAGGAATCTGTTCTGGATTTTCATACTATGACTTGCAGTGCATGCAACTGAGCAAAATCCTTTCATTAATAGATTTGCTTTTTTTCAATGGAACCTACCTGACCATCTGTCCCAATGGAGCCGCTACAGCCAGTTACCAGTTCTGACATATCATAATAACTAATAAATTCCCACAGGCAGGCCTCCAGATTGAGATTACGGTAGAAACGTAAAGTCTTAGCTGACCGTATGCTACTGCTGTATTGATAGGGTGAAGTTTCTCCAATCACTTCTGGATTCTTGATATCATCTGTGATGAAGCCATGTTTTGTTTCAATTTCATTATAATCCAAGAGATTGGAGCATTTGTGATTGCCTACACGAGTGCCATCCGGACTCAATGTCAACTCAAAATTGGACAAAGGTCTGGTTGAGATTACTGGCAACATTCCTGAAATCAGAAATTGCCTATTAGATATTTTATGCACTAATAATAAAAGTACCTGGGTGATTACATTACATTAACAATATTACATTCAGAGCATATGTAAGATTCAGATAAGTTTTATAACAGTAATTCAAATTTCAAAGCAGGGTTAAGAAAAATGTATGTACTTAGTTGCCATCTAAATCTTTTGTAGGTGAAATATAATGTTTTATGGAACTAAAGTACACTGAAGTATTAGTTATTTCCCATATAAAATAACCTTTATTGTCATTTTTACTGTAGTATTCCAATGTATGGTTGTGAGACTTCATATTGCTGTTTTTTTTTAATATAACATGCACATACAAGTCTGTGTTTGTGTATATGTACTGCAAGGTACTGTATACGCATATATTGCATGAATCCTCAAATCTAAGCATTTGGTGAAACATTATCTAGAATAAAAAATAAAGAATTTTAAAGTCTATGAATTGTTTCTAAATTGTGTTCATGGTCCTACTCCCAAAACCACTCCTGCTTATTCCAAGCCTTCTTCAATTCAGCACTAAATCTAATAGATTTTCTCTTTCGTATTTAAGAATAAATACAACATTCTTTCTTTGTTAAGCACTTTAAGCATGAACAAAGAAGAGGATAAACATTAAAAGTTGTCTTTGAATCATCGTTTCAAAAATCTCCTTCTGATGACAATTGGTGCAGCAACATTTCAGCCATTCTGGTTCTAGTGGCACGTATGTCTGGTACTTACCATCTATATGAGGCATGGTAACTGAAAACCTGATCAGGTTTGGATAGTCTGGATCATCAGGACCCATATAATGAATTTTGGCTGAGAAAGGCTCTGCTCCAACTGTACCCAGAATACGTGGTTGGCACAGACCTAGGGGAAAACAGCGCCATTCATTGATTTATCAATTTTAAACAAGCCATACCTCTAATTAATGTGATTAATGTGGGAAACTTACACAATTATGAAAAATAAGCACAGGAAGCCTTTGTCTTATGACCACAATTGAGCCAAAAATTTCCATTCATAAGCAAGGCAGTTGGTAAGTGAATTTCACCCCATTTTACAACCTTTATTGCCATAGTTGTTAAGTGAATCATTGTAGTTGTTAAGTCAGTAATATGGTTGTAAAGTGAATCTGGCTTCCCAATTGACTTTGCTCATCAGAAAGTCACAAAAGCTGATCACATGAGCCTGGGATACAGCAATTGTCATAAATATGAGCCATTTGCCAAGTGCCTGAATTTTGATCACATGACCACAGGAAGCTTTAATTGTGAAAAATGGTCATGTCACTTTTTAAAGTGAACCTGTAGCTTCAAACCATCACTAAATGAAATGTTGTCAATCGAGGAGTACCTGTATTAACTTAATATAATTTTATTTATGCTCATGCTTTAATAGTAAATGTGTGATGACCCAGGGCATGGCACAAAGGCAACAGTCACATAATCAGTAGGAGTTCCTTTATTAGTTTATTACTAACCTACTTTATTACTTTGCCCCCAATGTCCTGGTTACCTTCTGGCTGGAGAAAAACTCCCCAGGAATAGCCTTTGGCTGCAGAGAATCAAGTCCAAAACGTGGTCAACAAAAACTGTAACTATTAAGTCCAATCAAGGCAAGATGAGATAGATAATTAGTTCTGCAGGGCAGGAGGAGGAACAGCAATAATTCAACACGGTTGGGAGGATGCCAGGAACGCAGATAACCAAAGTCAATACAAGATAAACTCATGTTTGTTCCCAGCAGAAGCCTCACTCAGCATGCATCTCTTTTAAACTCTCTTCCCAGGTGTGGTTAATGAAGGGAATCAGGGCCCTTTCCTCCCCACGCAACCCATGTTGCTCTTTTGTCCGTTCCTCCCTGTGTGCCCTAGGATGAAGAGGAGGTGGGCCTGGGTCTTCCTCCGTCTCCCTTGTTCTACCTCTCCCCTGCTCTGCCCAGCCAGATTTTGCCCTTCCCCAGTTTCCTCCACAGCCAATGAAGCCACACTCCCACTCCCTGTCAGCTGTTCATCTTCCTCCCTGAATCCTCAGATTCAGACTCCGAGAGGGGCATGACAAAATGCTGATAAATGCCTAATATGGAATTCTATAAGTCTAAATGCTTTGCCCAAGTGTCATTCAGTTACTAACATAGTCACTGAAGCTCATGTCTGTGTGTGTGTACACATGTGTGTGTGTTTGTGTGTGTGTACATACCGGTAGTATATACTATATATACTGTATTATATACAGTATTATATTGCATATATATAGAGTACAAACTCAGACAGAACTAATGTTCTCTAAAATTTAAAAATGGCATAGTTTTATCCTCAATTTTCCAATTCAAGGCATGATACATTTCCTCAGTAGCAGGCAGCTCACATCCACAACACACATATCACAAATAGGTGAAAGTGACATAGATTTGGAAATCCTTTCACAATTGTTTCCCTCACAGGCAAATTGTAGGAAGTATCAGATTACATGCACACTTAGAGCAACATCCTTGCCAGTCAACTTTATGTTTTCTTTACATGTATGGAAACCAAAATGTTATAAGCTTGTTTTCAAATGACATATTTGCAGAGGAACCACTCTAGTCATAAAGCTACCGTCTCTATTTTTCACTTGGCTAAGTTACACAGGTTTTTAAAGATATTTCAAATTATTATTTAAAATAAAATAAAATTACACTTACTACTATAAATATATTGAAGTGCAAATGTTGAATGTCATATCTACTAACTTAATAATTGCACTTCTAATTGTTCCATCTTTCTCATTACTAAAAAAAAACATTTATCGGAAAGAATGTTCTATCTGAATAAAAGTGTTCAGAATCACTTAATGGTTTATTAAACTTACCTTCTTGTCTATTTATTATATGGATGGGACTCAACAGTTCTAAGCCCACATCTCCATTGGCCTTGACAGCGCGTGCTGCACACTGAACCCTGGAGCCAGCTTGGAAATAGATGGAGTCTAAAGCAATTGACTTTGTGTTAGTGAAGAAAGTATTGGAATCTACTTCACGCATAGGGCTGGTCACACCATCCATGCCGCTTGGGGCACTGACAAGCCAACGATACAAGGTCACTGTGTCATTGATGTTTTCAGCAGCACAAATAGATCCAGTCTTGTCATAATCTGAGTATTTGGGATTGCATGCCTAAATGCCAAGATGCATACAATACATTTAGTTATGTTTAAATCTTTGCCATGAAAATTCTTAATTAAGATGAAAAATAAGACTTTCCTCTCTTTTTGTTTCACTAGAGTTTTTAGCAAATTCCTTATTCTTGTTATCACTTCATAAATCTTATTTTATGTCCATCCTATCTGAGAATTAAGTATTACTGATTCTGCCATTTATATGTAAAAGCCAAATGCTGTGGAAAGAGTTCAATTTATTAAAACTTGAATGAAAAAAGATATTGATATCATATCTATTAGAAAATCAGGGAAAAGGAAGAAATGAAGTATCAGTAAATTATCTAGCAAGTTGCAAGAAGATTTAGATCAGGTTTTAATTCTATGGAGAATGCAAATGTAATATTAAGCATACACTGATTCCTTCATATGCTCTTTTCTGTGAAATTGGTATTAACATGATTTTTTCCATAAGCAAAATTTTGAGGGCACATGAAACAAAAGCTATAACTAATGTGCTCAACATTAAATTTTCTTGTTTTTAGATACTGAAAATCAAGTAAATAACCATTATGAACTGATAAAATGGAACTTTCCAGAAGCTTAAAAGATTAATCCCAAATATTTTTTCTCCTCCTAATTTTTAGTAGTAGAAAAATTAAGACAGCATAACTATACATAGTTCGTACCGTTACACACACAATAGGATATCCATTGGGAGGCTGGGGATTTACTTTACTTTTGGCAGTGTCATCATACAACAGAAGTGATACAACTTGTGGCACAGCTGGGAAAGTCACATCTGCCATGCTATCCATTTCTTCAATGTATATAATGGCTTTATTCATCTGAATGGAAAAACAAAAAGTTTCTGTCTCTAAATATAAAGCAGATATGAAAGAATGCTTCTGTAACCAGCTATGTTACACATAATATATGAAATGTTAAAATTAATCTACCCAGAAATAAGAGAATAAAGAATATGAAGATATAACTTCAAGGAGCATACCACTTACAATGAATTAATTTTGACACTGAAGCATAAAATATAATAAAATATAATAACTAAGAATTGGAATATATGAAACAATTATCAACTTATCCCTTTGCACAATATCTTATACCTGGCTTATGCTGTAGGGTCATAAAACTTGTCTTATGCCACTCTTATCCACTCTAAAGAATGAATCTAAAGGTTTCTTTTTGTTAGAGGAAGAAATTATTAACTTGACAAAGGGAATCCACAGAACCATTCCATGTCTCTAAAATCAAAACAACAAGGAAACTGCTTTCCACCTTATTTGATAAAAGAAACCTATGACCAATTCATCTTGACAGCTGTTCATTATGGATCAATCCATTTTTTTTAGAAAGATGTAGATTCAGATCTAGAATTAAAGCATACTTTTCACTGAGAGGCACTTAGATATTATTGGAAGGCACCGACACTTTTTGTGTCAGTCTTATGGTCAATCTAAGGGTAGAGATTTTTTTAATCAAGACAAAGCATTAAATCTTCCTTAAGACTGAATGCCTGGTTGGAGTCAAAGCTTCTAAACTTTCCAAAGAATAGAAGCAGATCTGAGCAAAGGCTTTGCTTCCAGTTTGGTCTCCAACAGCAGACTTCCATGGATTCTGAAAAACCAAGGTTGTTAATGCTTCGACATTTCTGAATCACCCTCAACTGAATGCAAACTACAGGGCAAACCACTTGAGTATTTACCTGTGTTTCAGCCACCATATTCTCATCAGGTTTCAAATGCACTGTAAATGCTTCACGCATTTCTCTCACTCCATCATACAAAACTTCAACCTCCACAAAGTGCTCTGTTTTTCCTTCTTTAAATTCAATATCTAAAATGAATAATGATAAATGAGCAATTTGGGTCATGTCTGTGAAATATGAATATTCATCAGTCAAAGTTTTGCATTCACATTTTGTAGCATTAAAAACATATCTAATTCCAGATCTGTTTTTTTTTAAAAAAAACACCTTATGCATTGGACATTTGCTGCAATGTCCAATTTAGGATCAGAATCTTACCCTCAGACATTGGATTATAGTCTTCTCCAGAAGTAGCTGAACCATCTTTAGTATGAATTCTTACAATAGAAACTTTGGAAGTGTCTCCAAGTCGCAAGATTGGGATCTTTAATACTGCCATCTCTCCAGGCTCCCGTGGTTCTTGAATGTTGTATTTCACATCAGAGAATTTAATCATTGGTTCTGCAAGACAAATGGAAAATGTCAACTTCTCCTTTTAACCAAGGCTAAACTTCAGTATAGCTTTTAATAATAGTCAGAGACAGAAAAGAAGTACTAACCAAGAAAATAACATTTTGTTTAATTCACTTAATTTATTATTTAGCAATATAATTTATGCTAAATTTAATTAATGACAAGGCAAGAACAATGCCACTATAAACATATATTGATCAGTTTAAATCATAAAAGGAAGATGATATCGAATTTTGTAAGATTAAACTTTATAAAACACCTAGAAAAGTCAATTGTTTCCACTCAAGGTTTAATTCTATTTCAATACATTCTATTAGGCAATACTATAGTTGGATGAATAAAAATCAAAACTGATCCCCATCACTCTGTGCTGGTGTGAATTAAATCTCTGAATGGCAGAGCTAGATTATGAATAGTTATTTTCTGAAACACCATGTAACTCTCTTTCTTAGACTGTCCAGTGGCACATCAGAGGTAACATTAGAACTAATTATTCATAACATTAAGCAGTTTGTTTTCTGTAACTACACAGGGAAAGTCTATACCAGAGAGTACACATGAAAAAAAAAAGATTTTAAGTAAGCATTAAGAAGGATTTCCTAATAAGCTATTAAACAATTGAAAGTTGGTTTTGATAGAAGCAGAGGCTATAATAGAAAACCTCCTATCAGGGATACATTATTTGTTAACGTGACCAATTTATATTCAGCCATAGTTCTCTCTCCATTCCAGTCTTTTCATTTACTACTTTATTTTATTCAGTACGGGAAGAGGGGCTAAACATTTTTACATTTTGAAACAGAGGTGTACAACTTGTACCCCATATTTCATAATGTTACCTTCGGAAATTGTTCAAAACATGTCATTGTATTATAATTTTTAAGGTGACAAAAGAGAAACTATTGATTACATGTGATTAATGCTTTAAGTACTTTTAATATACTTTTAATTGTATTTAATTTCTGGAAAACTCCAATTTAATGTTTTATCTGATACACATGAAAATATAATACTCATCCAGAAAAAGATAATAAAACAAAAGGTATTTTATTTTAAACTATTTATTTTATTAGAGGATGTGGTTTAGGGTAATTTTGAAGGAAACCAGCCAATTTACTATTATCTAATAAAAAGTTATTGACCATTTGACTTTTCAGGGATGTAATTTATATTTTAGAAGCACTGTCCTTGAATGCAGAGATTAGCAATATATAAATGAATCCTAATAGCTGTCCAGTTTGAAATCCCTTGAAGTAATAATCTAAAGGTCCTTTAATTGAAAGAATAGCAAACAGCTCATCAACCTACTGTCTTCTTCATCCTTAATCTTCACCAGCACTTCTTTTGGCTCCCCAATGGAAGCACCAAATGAAGAGGTACTTTTGGGAGTTCCAAGCACCAGTCTGAACTCTTCCTCCTCTTCATAGATAGCATCATCTTCCAAAACCACAAAACAGGATTTCTCTATCTCTCCTTTAGAAAGCAAAAAGCCAGAATAATATATGTTGACTCTTGGTGACTTAATGGATGTGTCCATTTAGGTTTGTTTGTTTTACTATGAAACCAGTTTTTCATTAACATATTCCAATGTGGTTTCTCAATCTTCCCTGGAATTTCCTGGCGCTCCTGAGCCAGATACTGGCCAAATCCAATTGTTTAGTTTGCAAGACTAGCCAGTTCAGTCAAGATCTGCCAACTGAAGAATCTTACCATTTAACTTCACAATCGATATTAAAGAGATAAAGGCACTAACGTTATTACATATTATGTAATCACTGAATATTGGAAATAAATCTTGAGAAACTGATTTGTTTCGAGCTTCAGTTCCCCTTAATGCTAGCCAGCCCTCCAATGCAAGGTATTTTTTATCCAAAACAACCATAACAAAGCTTATATCCCAACTTTTCCCCTCTAAACTTCATAGGAATAAACATGCTAAATTTAAACAACAACAATAATAAAAACAGGAAAACAAAAAACATCCTCAATAAAATCTGCTTGATCAGGCAATTGTTACATGTTCTCTGTTCAGACAAAGAGTTTAAAAAATACTTGGTGTCCACAAATCTTTTATAGTGTAGTTTCTATAACCATTGATTAATGAAAGGCTTAATTATAATAGAAAAAAAATCAAAAATCATAATGGAAGCTAAATGAATGAACAATGCAGTAACACGAGAACTGAGGTTTCTAGCTTTACATTCACTCAACTTTCATTTCCAATTTGTATGTTTATATAGCACTATATACCTGAATGCAAATACCCCAATACACATACACACATTAGAAAAATGATTAATAGGGTTTGGAATGACTACATGGTGCCTAAACTTTAGAGTATGGCCATATCTGTTTTCATTGCAACAAGTTGCTTGCTGGTAAACTTTTTTTTTTTTAAAGGACATCTTACCTGGTAGGAATGTTATTATTGAGTCATCTGTGTTTGGTCTCTCCTCATAGTCCATCATGACCTGGGCAGAGCCTTGGCGAGTGTAGCAGCGGACAGTAGACTTATGATTAACATCTCCACTTCGTGAGATTATAGCTTCCACCTGACCATCTTTTTCATTCACAATGTAAAGAGATTCCTTAAATTGAACTTTGGGTACTGCAAAAGAAATATGAATTATTCTATTTACCATTCCATTGTAATGTCCACCTCATTTAAGGTCACTCTGTATATTCACACTGTACTGATGTATTCATCATTAGCAGAACTGTCAAATTTATACTCAGGGCTTCTCAGTTAAGAATTTGTTATATCAAAGCAATTGGGGAAATTTGTAAAGGTGACTCACTTATCTGAATATATACTTCTCTTTACTCACTACATAGGTATACCTTTTATTTTAATGCGTCAGCCAAGATTATATTCTTGTGTTTTTGATATAGTTGATAACCTAATCAATAGTTATATTTATACATCATGACAAATACCTATGGCATAGGTTCTACCTATTTTATTTATAGATTACGATTTATCAATTGACAGGTTAAAAAAAACCCACTGTATAATATGATGTCTGAACGAGTTGATGGAATTATTTTGTATAAAGCATTTAAACAAAAGCCATAAAAATATAGAGTCCTCAAGTTACAACAGTTCATTTTCTGATTGTTTAGGGGTTAGAATGATGCTGAAAAAAGTGTCTGTTTCCACACTTACGACCATTGCAACATTCCATGGTCATGTGATCAAAATTCAGACACTTGGCAACTGACTCTTACTTATGATGGTTGCAGAATCCCAGGGTCATGTGATCGCCTTTTGCAACCTTCTGACAAGCAAAGTCAATGGGAAAGCCAGATTCACTTAACAACCATGTTGCTAACTTAACACCTGCTACACTTTACAACTGTGGCCAGAAAGGTCATAAAATGGCCTTAATTGTTGGGGGCAATATGCTGACTCTGTAAATCGCTTAGAGAGGGCTGTAAAGCACTATAAAGACATATATAAATCTAAGTGCTATTGCTATTAAGAACTCTCTTGCTGAGCAACAAAATTTTGGAGTTAGTTGTGATCAAAAGCCAAGCACTACCTATAGTTAAATTTTGATTTCTTAAGAGTTTATTTTGTTAGACCAGCATTCTCCAGCTTCTTTCCTTCAGGTGTATTGAACTTCCAAATCATCAGTTGATATTAGTTCTGCTTGCTAAAGGTGATGGGATTAAGTTTAAGTTTTTAGACATCAGATTGGAGACAGCTGTATAGCACATTATCAGTAAGCTAGTTTGTTCTAATTTTGTATTTAATTGGCAGGAAGGCTACTTTCTTCATGCTTGAATAGTTGACAATGAAAGCTTTAAGATTAGGCTTCCAAGAAGAGATTGGACTGCCATTTGTCAGAAATGGAGTAGGGTCTCCTGCTTGTAGCTAGATAGGTGGTGGTGGACTAGATGACCTATAAATTCCCTTCCAACTCTGATTATCTGTTAATCTGTTGATAGTTAACAGTGCCATTTTCTATTCTACTCAAAGGATGTTGTTAGAAGGCAAAGTTGAAAATGCCTTCAAAATTATTTAAAGTGAAGGAAAATAATGATAAAATTATTCCACTAATTAACATCATTAAAAAAAAGAAAAGCCAAAATCTAGACCTATAAATTTTGCATTAGGCATTCCATCCTTTCTGGAAGTAAAGCATAGCTTTGGAGAGTTCACCAGATTTATAATGAACTCTAGTATAGTTTGTATCCTAATACTATCTTGGTAGCTAGATAGGAAGGAAGGAATGCTTTCCTTAAAATTCAGAATTCCTAGCTATAATTTCCATTTTTTTAAAAAATATACATGTTCTATTTTCCAAATTCAGTTTTAGCACTGTCTTGCATGCACCTATGCACGTTATCTTCCAGTTTTACCAGAAAATATTTTGTATCAATTTATGGAAAACAATCTGCAATGCTTACAATCAGTGATGGTATCATTTATGATGATAGTAGCTTTGCTTGGCTCTCCAAGCACTGCATTCACTGGCATCTGGAGAACAAGTTCAAACTTTTCTGGGCCTTCAAGAACCGGCTGTCCTAGATCATCCAAAATAGTTGCACGAAAAGTCTGCATGTTTACACCAGGAGCAAAATCCATGTTTTGGCTTATGCCAACATAATCAACTCCAGCTACAAGAGACAAAATTTAATTATGTGTGCAGTAATGTTCATATGATTCAGACAGCAGTTTATATACATTTTAAAATGCTTTTTTCATGTATTTTGGACACCTAAACATAAGACAATTAAACTTTCCATTACTTTTAGAGAACTGTTCTAGAATGTCAAAAGGAGAACAATTAAAAGGCTACAATAATAAAAATCTGAGTACTACAATTTGGACAAATTAAAACACTTTTTGTCACAGGAAAACCATCACTGGCCTTATCTTGTTTTCATCTTTACTTTGAGATTATGCCAGGAAATTTCTAAACTTAACTGACATACAGGAATTGGAATGAGCAAAGCACAGGAAATTTAATTTAATTTCCTCAAGTTTGAAATGTATTTTTTTCTTTGAGGATAGTGCTACAGCATATAGTTTAATTAAACAACTTGGTGATCCCAGAATGTGACTGTGACAACAAAATAAGAGGGAATCTTTCTATTGTGCACTATTCAAACAATCTCATGGAATGAATTACAGAATATTGGAACAACAAATTCATTCAACATTGGGGCTGCTGGAATTTTGCTTATGTGGTACTTTTCTATATATCTGTTAGTTTATGAACAATATATAACTAAAATATATAAGAAATGTTATCAACACAGGACAAAACGTTTGGTGAGAGATTATTGAACAGATATATTAGTAATACAGATGAAACAATTCACCTTCTGCAGATACTGGTTCAGTTTTCCTGGAACGAACTGTGACAGTGGCAGCTTTAGATAAGTCTGTTCCAGTTCTCCAAACACGCACTTCTACATAACCAGCACTCTCCGCAACATAATATTCAGTGTCACCAAAATAAAAAGCAGGTTCTAGGACATAAAACAAAGATAGAAAAGAAAATGATAATCATAAAAAAAAAATCAAAGATCATTCTTCTTGTATTTAAGTCATCTGGGCAATTAAGAAAAAGGAAAACAAGGATAAATAGTTTTGGAGACGTGAAAATGTTAACAATTTTCAGCTAACAGAAAATAGAGGATCTATCAATATTTTGGTTTTATTTTTGAGCCATGGTGGCACAGTGGTTAAGAGTGCAGTGTTGCAGGCTACTTCTGCTGACTGCCGGTTGCCTGCAATTTGGCAGTTCGAATCTCACAAGGTTCAAGGTTGACTCAGCCTTCCATCCTTTCAAGGTGGGTAAAATGAGGACCCAGATTGTTGGGGGCAGTATGCTGACCCTGTAAACCACTTAGAGAGGGCTGTAAAGCACTGTAAAGCGGTATCTAAGTCTAAACACTATTGCTATTTTTAATGTCCCCAATATTTCCTAGTTCTTCTTGCTGAGTCAAGATAAGAGAAAATCATGGAGAACATGCATTAACATATGTAACATTCATGTTCTTATAGCTTTAATAGACTTTCATTTACATTGACCATAATCCTGAAAATCTCTTGATACTCCCCTCCTCCTTATTTCCACAAGAATTAGGCACAACTATCTGGCAAAGGGTGAAAAGAATTGCCTTGAAGAAGAATAACTGCTATCAACGCAATGGTAGGTAATCTCCAATAAATTTTATGAGAAAATGACTCAGGCAAAACCCTCCTAATTCACATGAAGATAAATTGAGGGTGTGAGAAGCATATTCAGACTTGCAATATTTTGTTATAATACAGATAGTCCTTGCTTATAGCCTTATTTAGCGACAATTGAAAGTTACCAAAAAAAACCCAACAACCTAGCTTTGCAACCAATCCTTATATCTGCAGCATCCCAGTTATGATTGGTATTCATGCTTCCTAACTGGCTTACTAAAGCAGATTTAATGCTGATTCAGAAGTAAAACCACGAATTGTCAAGTGAGATGATGTCTTGCTTAACAACAAAATGAGAAGTTATGTTGTAGGCCTTCGTGACCATATCATTTTTCTGCTTAGCAGCCATAGTGCTTAGTGACAGAGCTGCCTGTCCCATTTGCGGTTGCTAGTAAGGACTGTCAGTAAAAATAGTACTGAACTATATGGTTTCTTAGTCTTGTCTACCTTGCAGGGTTGTGGTTATGGTTAGACTGAGACATTTATACAAATTTTCTGTATGTCCCAGACTTAATCTATCTTTCCCTTGTGATCTTTTTGTTAATGGTTCTCTCCTCTCTACTTCAAACTATCCTCCTTAATCTGAACATATGTAATATTTATATTACATATCTTTTCATATACATAGCTCTCTGCAAAAGATCAATTTTCAAAAAGTATAATGATGTAAATATGTGGGATATAAATCAGGCTTTGAATTCATTCTCAGATTATTTTGCCAATGGTAACCTAACCCCATTTTATATAGTAGTATAACTGTGAAAATGCATCTGAAACTTTAACCTGTGAAATTGAAAGGTACAGTGTACTGTGGATAGTAAAGATCTTTTTGTAGATTGGATATTAATAACAACAACACAAAACAAAGCTAATGCCAAATAAAACTTGTAAAGGATAATACCCTTACATTTTATTGTAAGGGATAAAATGGAAGGAAGTACTTGTATATCTCCAGCTTTGCAAAGGTGTGTAATTATGTCTTCTAAAAATGCAGAGATATTGATCAGTGCCTATTTCATGAATTGTTAATAAAATGTATAGGCAATAGCTTAGAAATAACCCAGGTGTTCCTCAAAGGTGGAATTATAAACCCACATTTCCTCATATTAGTAATCAGTTTGTACAATCTACATTAACTCATGAGCTTTAATCACAAAGGGAAGCTAAGGAAAGCTTTTTGAAAAGCATATAATTTAAACCAGATAATGTAATTGCAAATTAAAGACAAAGCAAAACATTAACTGTTTATTATATCTTAAATTATGGTTCCTGTCACCATTGATGTTTAAGATTTTCATTCACCCCTCCCAAAGTCTGGGGTGGCTGTAATCTCAACATCTAATTGTGCATTATTTCCTTATCTATTAGCCATTTCATAAGTAAAAAAAATATTATTAAAAATACTAGCCTCTTTACTTTTGTACAGCAGTAAAATGTTCTGTGTAAACTACTCATTTAAAAGCGATTTCTGGTTTCTCAAAGAGGCCCTCAGTGTTTGCTGAGGCTGGCTATCCCCCAGTGGTCCCTCCACAATTGAGAAATATGTGTGCCAGTGCTGAAACCTGTTCTACCTGCCCTGCCACTTAAAAATTCCTGTAGAAAACCATGGTAAGATTTCCACTTCCTTGTAAAATCACAAGTTGTTTGCATCTCCATCTTCAAAGCTCATTATTGTATAACTGGATCCTTTGTTGAGTTACACATGATCAGGCAGCATGTTTCTGCATAACAGGAAAATATACAGAGCCCACAGCTTCCTAGGGTATGATCAAGGGCCAGTAACAAAACCCATATTGTTCACCCTTAGGTGGAATATGAAGATCAAAGGACTAGATTTTTTGGGTCTTGAGTACTTGATTATGCAGCTTTTTTAAAATAGGAAACATGAGCAGTTTGCTGGTCTTATAGGTCACCAGCTGTCATGATACTGTACAAAGCAAACAAACCACCAATTACCTTCCAAAATTCTTAAAACTAAACCTTCGTATCAGTTCTGTATGAATTATTTAACATGAAAGATATACAATTTTCACAATGCAAAACAACTTAATTTGTATAAAACATGTTGTATTGACATTGTATCAAATAGAATCAAAATCTGATTCTTTTACCAGATTACAAAATAGATGCTGGATTAAACTACTGAACTACTTTACTTAAAAATGAAATACAGTTTCTGTGAGCACTGAGACAGGCAGATTTCCTGACGCCAAATCAAGTTGAGATAAGAAACACACTGGGAACTCTGATTGTTGGTCCCATTAATGCCATTAGTCTTGAGACAACTACACAGCATGGAAGTGGGTTCATCTTTTGTTGCCAAATGGAGGGTTTTTTTTTTTCCAGGAAGTATTCTCCTCTTCTGGCCTTTAAAATCTGGGAAAGAAAATAGCTCTCTGATTTTTACAATTGCTTAAGTCTCTCTTTATCCTCCTTTCTTGTTAGCAAGAACAGGCCAAAGTAAAAGGGATGCCATGCAAGTGAAAAGTGAAATGCACTTTATACTTGTTCTGTTTAATAAAGAAGCTATTATGGCATGACCCAGTCCACTTTCTTGGGGTCTCTTTTTCCCAGCCTTACCATCCTCCACTAAAGAAACTCATTCATGCTTTCCTTTCCCACTAACTCCCAAATTCTGACATGAATTCTTGCATTTCTAGAAAGAATGGAGCCAGCATATCATAAACATGTAAAAATAATAAATCATGTATGGTTAGATCAGACAGCCTCATTGTATTTATTACTAAACAAATAACAATTTTAAGCAACAATTTGAGAGTTCGTTCTGTCTCAAATGTTTAACTTTCCAAGAAACAGATTTTTTCAATGGAAACCAAAAGCTGAAAGCAATGAATAAAAAAATAATATTAGGTCCCAAGCAGAAACTAAATATCCAAAAACTAAAAACCCATCTAAATAACCCATCACATGTAAAAGTGCAACAAAATGTCCACATATAACAAATAATATATACCAATTAAGCCATGACATGATTGAAATCATGATTCTGTAATCTAAGATGTACGTATGTATGGATAGATGATAGAAAGAAAGAAAGAAAGAGGGAGAAGATTGAGATTGAGATAGATAGATAGATAGATAGATAGATAGATAGATAGATAGATAGAAATAAATAAAAGATATATAAATAAAAAGATACATAGAGAGACATGATAACAGATAGCGATGATAGAGATAGAGAGATAATGACTGTGTAGATAAATACAAGAAGTGACTAATGTGTTCAAGACCTCATGAAGTAAAAGAGTAAGTATTCAGGGACCAAAACTTGAATAAATGCACTGAATATTATAAACTTTGCAAAAATGTCTATTGTTATTCTTTTTACTCACGATCATTTGTATCAGCTAAAATGATGACTTTAGTACTGGGAAATTCAACTCCAATTTTTCCACCCAATGGCATACTTAAAGTGACATTAAAAATTTCATCTTCCTCATGAAGTGAATCATCAATAATTATGACCCGGCATATTTTCTCCGTCTCATCCTTATGAAAGCGAATTAGACTGGTATGGTCATCAGGACGAGATATGTAGTCAGAATATGACAAGACCATAGAAGGAATTGTGCCAGTGGCAGTCCCTTAAATAAAAAGAAAATAAATGACAGTCAATATATATTATATTTTCAATATTTCTTTTTGTGTATGTGCAATATACATTATATTTATAATATTTGCATTTGTAACTTTGTTATATTTATAGTCATATAACTACAGCATGTAGCATACAATGTACATATGTAATACAGATTACAGATAGCAGAAAGCAGCATATGACATAACTTTTTCTTCTTGCCTAAACAGAAGAATACAATGACCATGGCAGTGGGCATTAGAAGCCTTCCTTGCTTCCTTCCTTGCTTCCTCCCTCCAATTCCTTTCCCAGCAGTAGGTAAATGGTGGCAGCTCAGAGGAGGAGACAATGAGGGACTGTAAGATTGGTCAGGAAATTGTCAGGCAATACCAAAAATGAGAAGCACGTGACTAAGTGATGTAGTAGTGTTATTGATAGTTGTGGTATTAAAGCAGCCACAACTAGCCCAAATATTATTTCCTGAGGAGTAATGGATCCTGGCATTCTGTAAGTTAGTCTATTTGAGGTACACCTTGGTTCAAAAGCTGTTGCCCTATGATGTACTGTTTTTCCAGTTAAAGGTAATGGCAAGTTTTAGCAGTATATGATATTAACACATACACATACCACTTAATTAAAAACACTGTGAATGCAGCAAAATGTAATAAAGCCCACTATTAAAAATAATAATTCTAACATTGCATAAAATATTAATAGCCTCTAAAATGATTTCTTTCTCTTTGTCACTGATTATAATACGACTTAATGTCTTAAGATTAACAGAGACAATAGCAAATGTGCAGATCTAATTAAAGTTTATCTCACAATTAATTGGGTAATTAAGTAATGTTTAGCACACTATCATTAAGACAATACAGATTAGTAAATATATATACATACATACATATACATATATACATATATTTATATACATACATACATACATACATACATACATACATATATGAGATATATTGTATATATTAAAAATGCTTTCATATAAATAAAAGTAACAATTTCTCCTTTATCAACCATTTTCTTATTAAAAAATTCAGTTTATTACAAAAATTGCTTTAAAAATTACAAATCGGTGGATCTGTAAAGTATTAGAAGTATTTCACTTTTTCTTCCCCATTTCATATGAGGAACAATTATAATTAGGAAGTTTTCACCAAGTTAATTATATCCATGTTTAAATATGTGATGTGTGAGAAAGACCTTGGGAGACTAGGAGATGTTGCTAATGGAGCTGTCAAATAAGAGACAGCCTAGCCAGCTCCTGGATAATGGATGGAGCAAGAGCTCAGGAAAGACTGTCCCCAATTTCCCAGTCTGCACAGGAGGTGGGAAAGGAGGAATGTATTTTCAGACTTGCAAGATTTTGTCACGGTAGCCTTACAATAAAGTAGAATTAGCTCATATGGTTGTGATTACTGTCTAGGAGGCTAACAAAATAATTACATATTATATTTTATTAACAACTTATTTCATCAGGACCATTTTCCACACACAGGCTTTGTTTATGACTTTTTAAAAGGTATTTATTTAAAATGTTTCTATATTACAGCATTTGCGTATCAATTTCACTAAGTCAGATATAATAGAGTTTGTAACAGAATTTTTAAACAGTAACATCTGTTTTATATTTTATGCATGCGTAAAATCTCATCTTATGCTTGTATAACCTTAATTTGACATTTAATGGACATTTCCCTCTAGTGACAGCCCTTTTTACGATAAGTCCATTAAATCAACGGGTGTATGCCATAGACTGTATTAAAGGATTCCTGTAGGACATGAACAAAGATTCAAGTGAACAAACAATATTGCCATTCTAATCTATTTATACTAGCTAAAATTGAAACTAACCATAATGAGCATTTCAAGTTCATAGTAGTAATAATAAACTGCAGCTACATTAAGAGTAAAAGCAGAATATTTCAATCTAACCTTCTTATAGTGTGAGGTTCAACATTTTATTGAATTGATTTGCACATGGCGACTCAAGGTGGCTTACAGAATATAAAACCTCATTTAAAACAATAAAACTAATAAAAAAGAATCAAATAAATTAATATAATAAAAGTCACTCCCCACTCCGACAACAGCAGATCACATGAGCCATTTAATGGGCTCCATCCCACTCTGGGTTCCCCAGGCCCTCTGGCAGAACCAGATCTTCAGTGTAGTAGTTGTAGTTATTTCATTAGAAATCTGTATTGTTTAATCAGCACAAAGAGAGATTGCATATATCAACCAATGGAACAGTTTATATTCCTTGAATTCTATAAGACATTTCTTTCAAGAAGTAAAGCGCCATTCATACATGCAAATAAATCAATAAAAGCTGTGATGTACAGTTGAATATTTCGAGGTATACTATTTATCAATTTTTACTTTCTTCTTTCATTTAGAAAATGATACTTTCAAACTAAGCCTGTATATTAACTTGTAAAAGTTTACAAGTATATTAAATTTAAAAATATACTACAATTTATTCACCACCAAATTCTGTTTGGTCCAGGTGGTCTGGGCTGTTCTACTAGTTTGGACTTTTAAGCCTCATATTTAGTGTTCCACATATTAAGTATTCTTTGTAAAGATAACTATAAATAACTATAATTATAAATAAGTATTCTAAACCAAGCTTCATTATACCCTAAATGTTTGGAAGAAAAGGAAATCATGCAGGATTATTCAGGCATTGGAACAATCAAAGTAGCTAACACAAACCACAGATTTATTTCCTTATGAGAATTAATCTAATATGACCTATACAATGGATTATTTGTGCAAGAGAGCAATAAGTCTTCCAAAAACGACTTTTAAGAAAAAAATAAATAAAAGCGCACAATAAGCACATTGTAATTACTTTGCCTTTATCTTTTCCCTATAATTAATTGAAAAAGCAGATATTGCTAGCTCAAGTATGCCTACTCTCTGATCAGATGTGGGGGGAAAATTTGTATGCTGTATTTGGGGAGTGCACAAAGTTTGGCAAGAAATGATAGGAATGTAAAGAACTGTTATCTCGAAAAAGGGCAAATATACAAAGGAAGGAATTTGTTTGAAGCAGTGGGTTGTCTTTTCAATTAAAACAGAATTTAGATTACATTGGCTAAAATACAAAGATACTAAGAGTTTACATCATACTTTGCTTCTTTGAGAGGTAATATGGGTCACTCCCTAACATTTGTAGTTTGGAGGAGCCACTGTCTTTCCATTACTTTTATCTAGAAGTAACATGACTAAGATGAATCCGTCTGATCCCAACAAGGTGAAAAAAAAATGAAGAAATCAAAATAAGCAGAATCCCTCCCCAGTTTCAGTTCCAATTCTTACTGCCCTGTACTTATAGCTTTAAGTACAGGTAGTCCTCAACTTACAACAGTTTGGTTAATGACTGTTCAAAGTTGCAATGGCACTGGAAAAAGTGACTTATGCCTGTTTTTCACACTTACAACTATTGCAGCACAGGGTCATGTGATAAAAATCCAGAAGCTTGGCACTGACTTAATTCAGAAGCTTGGCAACTGATTTATATTTATGATGGTTATAGTGTCTCAAGGTCATGTGATCATCTTTTGCAACCTTCTGACATGTGAAGTCAATGGGGAAGCCAGATTCACTTAGCCACTGTATTGCTAACTTAACAACTGCAGTGATTCACTTAACAAATGTGGCAAGAAAGATCATAGAATGGGAAAAAAACTCACTTAACAAATGTCTCGCTTAGCAACAGAAATTTTGGGCTTAGTTGTATCGTAAGTTGAGGACTACCTGTAATAAGCATTTAACATAAACAGCACATAGCAGGAACTGAATTATTTCCTCCCTTCTCCACAGCATTCCACATTCATAGAATCAAAAGACGTTTATATGCTGAGCCCTGTAAGTACAAAATGGAAAACTCTATCCTACATAGAAAGCTGGTTAAATGTAAATTAAAACATTCATTTTTCTTGCCTCCAAACTATTCTGAATGTTTAGGAGTTTTGTATTACTTTTCAAGTGAAAACCCTCTCTATACACATGCATTTCTCCAAGTGTTTATTCTATAGTTTTACTGCATTAAATGAGACTAACTCTCAATGAACTGAGCATAAAAGTGCAAGCCCTGAAATTAATTAATGAGTTTACACCACATTATTTTATCACAGCTCTATTTCTAGTTAGGCCACCTAGTAAAGCTCAACATGAAAGGCTCTAGTTAAAGGAATCTAATCTCCCCTTTTAAAGTGGCAATGAACCTGTTTTAATACTTTCATCTCCCTATTACATCTTGCAGCTGTGTTGGCATACCTAACATCTTAGACTGACCAACAGCTGTCATGCTTCACAAACACAACTTGACTAGATGTCTAACCCATGGGGTCATAAAACTTGCAGCATATCCACCAGGCAGAAGTTCATCTTGCCTAATAAGGAAATAAAGTATTAGGGAAAAATGATCTTACATATATTTTCCACTAGTTCTCCCATTAAGGTATGACTTAAGTTGAACAAGAAAAATACAGAGGTACTGTATTTATATTAGCATATCCAAAATATTTTAGTATCTATTCATCATTTCTACATGTTATTTGGCAGTTTGCTTCGAACATCAATTTACAAACTATCTGATGAATACCCTGGCAACCTTCTGTTGTGCATTTTAATTAAAAAAAAATTAATTCCACTAAATTTAGTGGAAATTCATGAATGCAAAACTAGTTTTAGAAAATTTTGCTCTTGCTCAGGAAAGAAAACTGCATTTCTTATCAGAATGCTTACATCAGAGAATCTGGCATTAGAAGAAAGACAACTATCACAAAATATTGGTGTTTCCATAACATGATATGAGATCTTGTACAAGATTATTGTACACCCTACCAACAAAAGTGTGTATAGTCAAGGCTATGGTTTTCCCAGTTGCAATGTATGGCTGTGAAAGTTGGACCATAAGAAACGTTGAGCGTCGAAGAATTGAGGCCTTTGAAGTATGATGCTAGAGAACATTCCTGCAAGTCCCTTGGACTGCAAGGTGACCAAATCAGTCAGTCGTAGAGGAGATCAACCCTGACTGCTCTTTAGAAGGCCAGATCCTGAAGATGAAACTCAAATACTTTGGCCACCTAATGAGAAGGAAGGACTCACTGGAGAAGAGCCTAATCTAAAAAACATCCAAGTTACCCAGAAGCTTGCTCTTCCTGAGACCATCATCTATGAACTGTCCTTAAATATCACATTTCGATTCTTACTATGTTACAGAGCACCTGATTATGACATCGAACATGTAAACAAGCTAAATTCACTACTAACATGGGAAACATCCTGCCCACACGCTTTTATCTTTCTTGGTGACTTCAATCTACCTCATATTGACTGGACCCTAAACGAATGTAACACTGAACCCATAGATGCAACCTTCTACAATGCTGTAACAAATCTGGGACTGGAACAACTAGTAACCAACAATACTAGACTTAACAACTGCCTCGATCTCACCTTCTGCAATAGTTTGAATTCAATTTATGGAATACAAATTATACAATGCTTTTCCAACAGTGACCACAACATGATTGACTTTTGTCTCAACATACGTCCACACAAAAATCACCACAATGACATAATCCCCAATTATAACTTCAAAAAAGGCAACTACGATCTTATAGACAACGACCTCTCATCCCTTAATTGGCAATTTCTATTCACTGGATGCAATAATGTTGAAGACAATTAGAACATATTTTAACTTGAAGTCAAAAGAGTCATCAAACTATATGTACCAATAACAACTCCCAAAACCAGAAAAAAATAGATTAACCATAACAATAAGGAAGCTTCAATTCAAAAAGAGATCACTTTGGTGGAAAAACAAATCTGGTCACATTGCCAACTTCAAAAGCCGATACAAGAATTTATGCCACCAGATAAAGACTGAATGCACCAATTATCACATTAAACAAGAGGAAAACCTTCTATGCACCAATTCCACCCGCGCTTTCTACAACTTTGTAAACAAAAAACTAAACAACTCAAGGTCCATCCCACCCCTGAAAGGACCTAATGGTAAAGACTGTAACGATGACACTATTAAAGCAAACCTCTTTAACACATTATTTGGCTCAGTCTTTGTAAACAGTAATGGATCATGCCCAGTATTTCCTAGTCGAACCACAGACAACTACAATGATCTAATAAATATCGATTTTACAGAAGACAATGTTGAAAAAGCACTATTCAATCTAAAACCATCTCTATCTATTGGACCGGATGGAATATGTGCCTACTTCTTAAAAAAGCTATCCACTGCCATACCCGAACTTCTAAGCATAATCTTTGAAAAATCTTTCAGGACCAGCTCCTTGCCAAACCTATGGTCACAAGCCATGGTCACCCCCATTTTCAAAAAGGGAGAGCCCAGCCTAGTTGAAAATTACAGACCAATCTCCTTATGCTGCATCACCTGTAAAGTCATGGAATCAATTATTAACCAATCCATTATCCTCCACTTAGAGACAAACAACCTACTCTCTAATAAACAATTTGGTTTCAGAAAAAAACTATCCTGCAATCTACAACTGTTACACTGCAAAAACATATGGACTACATCAGGGTAAAACAATAGACGCAATCTACATAGACTTCTGTAAAGCTTTTGATTTTCAGTGGTACACGACAAACTACTCCTAAAAATAAAATCTTATGGTATCTCTGGACACCTGCATAACTGGATAGAAGCATTCCTGTCAAACAGACAACAAATGGTCAAAATTGGGAACATCCTATCAAATTCTGTACCTGTCAACAGTGGTGTCCCCCAAGGCAGTGTTCTAAGACCAACTTTCTTCATACTCTACATAAATGACCTCTGTGATCATATTAAGAGCAACTGCGTTCTCTTTGCTGATGATGTAAAGCTATTCAACACCACAGATAATTCTGCTACCCTTCAAAAAGACCTCGACTATCTATCAGAATGGTCAAACAAATGGCAACTTCAAATCTCAACAAATAAATGTTCTGTCTTACATACTGACAAAAAAAATCAGAAAATAAAATACAAGCTGAATAGTCAAGACCTTGCTGATGATCCAAACTCTGTCAAGGACCTTGGAGTACTCATCTCAAATGATCTAAGTGCTAGAGTCCACTGTAACTACATAGCCAAAAAGGCATTAAGAGTTGTTAACCTAAACCTACGTAACTTTTTCTCTTGTAATATCACACTACTAAATAGAGCATACAAAACATTTGCTAGACCAATACTTGAATACAGCTCATCCGTCTGGAACCCACATTACGTATCTGATATTAACACAGTACAGAAAATCCAGAAATATTTCACAAGAAGAGTTCTCCACTCCTCTACTTGTTGCAGAATACCTTATGCCACCAGACTTGACATTCTAGACCTAGAAAACCTAGAACTACGCCGCCTTTGGTCCGATCTAAGTATAGTATATAAAATCATACATTGCAATGTCCTACCTGTCAATGAATATTTCAGCTTCAACCATAACAATACAAGAGCACACAATAGATACAAACTCATGGTTAACCGCACAAACTTGATTGCAGGAAATACGACTTTAGCAACAGAGTGGTCAATGTCTGGAATACTGTGCCTGACTCTGTGGTTTCTTCCCCAAACCCCAAAACTTTAAGCTTAGGCTGTCTACTATTGACCTCACCCCTTTCCTAAGAGATCTGTAGGGGGTGTGCATAAGCGCACTAACGTGCCTACCGTCCCTGTCCTATTGTTTCTTTTATTTTTCTTATATGTATCTATGTGTTCATAACTATGTTTATACTTACACCTATTATCTTGTAAGCAATTGACAAATCAAATAAATAAAATAAATAAATAAAACTGGGAAAGACTGAAAAGAAGAAGAGGACGAGAGAGAATGAGGTGGCTGGATGGAGTCACTGAAGCAGTAAGCATGAACTTAAATGGATTCCGGAGGATGGTAGAGAACAGGAAGGCCTGGAGGAACGTTGTCCATGGGGTCGTGATGTCAGACACGACTTCACAACTAACAACAACAAGAAGATTATTGAATCTTCTACTATCTTATTTGGGAATATGATTTAAAATACAATCCCTGGAATCTTGTGACGGTTTAGTAATTTGGAAAGGTAAGGCACCATAAGACTTTTTCAAAACAGCAAAAATATACAAAGCAAAACTAACAAGAAAAGAAAGACAAATGAAAGGAAAAGGAAAAAAACATAGTTATTCCATGTTACTTTTTATCAAGAAATGATCTTTTTCTTTTCCCCACCTAGTTTTGCCTTTTAAAATCCCAATGATCATGCTTTCCCATGGTTTTTCTCCATCAAATGAAACAAAGAACAATTTAGAAAGAAAAGAGAAAATACTTTAAGGTGAAGAATAGCATGTAAAAAAATTACTCACTAGCAATTTGCAAGCTTTCTGCAGGGATGGGATTCTACCAGCTCGGTTCAGTTCTATAGAACCGATCGTTACGATTCTGTGCAGTTTGGAGAAGACGGAAAATCACACCACTGGCTGGCCCTGCCCTTCCCCACCCATCCCTCCCCGCCTAGTCACTCCTTAGCTCGCATGCGCACCATCCAACTTGCCTGCCTTGTCTGCACCATCCAACTTGCCTGCATTGTGCCTTTGCCTAATTTTTGGTAAGTTGCCATTTTTCCTTTTTTTTCCCCCCTGACGATCAGCTGTTCCGACTATAAGCTATTCCACATGATTTAGATTAGCTAGAAATCAGGAAATGGTCAGATTTCTTGCTTTCTAGCTAATCTAAATCGCTGTTGTACTGCTTTGCCTTCGCCAGGAGGCTTCCCTGAAGGCCCAGTCAGGGCCGGTATTCAGGGAGTTGGGGAGGGGAGAAGTGACCTAAGAGCAGAGCTGAACCTTCCTTACATCGGAAGCTTTTATTTTTCAGTGCAGACTCAGGCAGCAAATTGCAGAAAGGTAGATCTGTGAGTGAATCTGTGATTCTGCAAGCAACTCAATCTGCCTGCCTGCTTTGCCTGATTTTGGGTAAAAGTTGATCTTTTTAAATAAAACAATAAATATTTACATAAATATTTACAATATTTATATACAAGCCATGGCCAGCCAGTCACATGACTACCAAGCCACAACCAGTCAGCAAGCCACATCCACCCAGTCACATGACTGCAAAGCCACACCCACAAATTAGGCCATGCCCATAGAACTGGTTAAGAAATTTGAAACCCACCCCTGGCTTTTTGGAACTGTTTTGCATTACAAATTATGTTATTTCTAAAATGGATATACTGTGTTAAGTTAAATAAAATTCTGCTTTATGGGACAAATACAATATTTATATTTGGCATAAGTTAGTAAGGAATACCTTGATGAGTGGAACAAACAACCATTAGTTCATGACTAGTATCTCCAGATCTCCTGATAGGGATTAACAGTTCACCAACATCTTCCTCTATTTTATATTCTGACCCAGGAATATACACAGTAGATTCTGAAAAAGAGCAGAAGGTCATTGGTCAATATACAGTAATCATTTATGACAAAGACTAAGTATACTAGGTTTGTTAAAATTCTATTCCAGTAAATGGCAGTCAAGATATGAAAGCTACAAGATGGAAAAAAGCAGGGGAAAAAGTAACATACCATCACCAGGATCAATGATTTCCACCACTGCCTTCTCTGGCAACTCCAGGGCAGCCATAACTGGATCTGACAAAATAATCTGGAAGGTCTCAGATTCTTCATATTTATTATCTGCAATTATTCTTACTCGCCAAGTAGCCACAGTCTGTCCCGGGTTAAACTGAACCTGTTTCTGAGCTTTTCCTCTGAAATCTTTATCCTTTTCTGCTGTTCCATCTTTAGTCCCAATGCCTATGTAAATGTTTGGAAGAAAAAAATAGATATAAGAAACCTTAGACTTGAAATACTTACTTATGAAATGTACCCTACCTTTCTACATAAAATAGTTTTAAGGCACTTAATAAGACACAAATGAGAATGCAAAATTACAGTCAAACAATTAAGACTTAAAATGACAACACAACAGGTTTTTTCTTTTTATGACCCTACAATCCCTTAATTTGGGGTAGATTTAATTTGGGCTGACTGAATGGAGCCGAGTGTTACTGGCTGGATACCCTTCCTGATGTTTACAAGGAGTTTGCAACAGTTACAAGGAGTTTGCAACTCTTTGCACTCTGAGAGAGAAACATCTGCTGCTACCTAGGATTGAACTCTCAACCTTCTGAGTGAGAAGCGACCATTTTCACACTGGGCCACCATGCTTTTCAATGATATGGTGTGTTCCCTCATCACCCAAATAGCAGCCATTTTAGGAAGAGTCACGCTTCATGTGGTAGATATTTTCTACAATACGCTCCTAAAATTGCAAAGTAACTTAAACAGGCTTAGGCAGTGATATATAAGTTAATAAAACTTTTGATCCAATGCAAAAAGCAAAGGTTTATTCCAGCAGTGAATTTATCTTAATTAATTTTGATAACTCAAGAACAATTTGAGATTTCAGAGACACTCAATTGTATTACTGCAATGCTGAGACCTTTCAGATTAGGCCCATTTTAAATAATTGTAAAGACCTAACTTCATTATTTGATTTGAAAATTTATATTAAGATTGTTCAAATCTTTTGAAGGATGTGCTTTGAAATGTATGGAAATGCATTTTAAGGACTTTTTTTGAATGTTTGAGCAGTTGCAACCTTTTCCTAGCTTTACTGACTTTTTGAATGCATGTCCTTGCATTTGATTAGTGTATCCACACACATGCAAACACAGCTGTGTAAGCCAAGAAAAATATACCACTACTTTACTGATTTTAAGAGACAAGCTGTGTGTGTCCTTCTGTTCTCCTGGATTTGCACATTTCTAATATTAATGCGATGCTTTAAAATGCAAGAAAAAAATCAAACATGAGAATTTAATTACTGAGAAGTGAGAAAATTTGATAGTAATTTCTGCCAGCACACAGGAAAACTTTTGCTGACATTTTTGGGAACTGTTTCCATGTTGCAAAAATTTGGTTTCGGTAACTGCAATTTAAGTTTAATTTAACATCATGAATTTGAGCTTGAACATGTTATATCTAATGTTTCTACTCAGCTGCAGCTTAAAAAAGTAACTCTTAATTAAATTATCATTTGAGGCTGTCAGTTACAAAATTTTAAGAATAATAAATCTGCAAACAACAGGACATGTGAAGTCACGTTCCTAGCCAATACTAGAACAAAACATCCTTTAAACATATATTTTTAACTTCATTAAACTCCCAAGAGAATTATCACACATCTTTGTTGTACTCCTTGCTCAGTAATGAACTGCTGGCTAGGAATTCCATTTATTTTCATTCGTTCTTTACTTCTGTCATATACTTCATCACTCATCACATTCAGCAACCAACTGCAACTTTCTATATTTGTGCTGAACATTCCATGATTCATGCCTCTTCACTTTGTCTAAATCAGCAGAGTGTTATAAACTTCTTCTGTAATAAACTTTCAATTATCTTTCTCAATGCTGAAGAACATTTTTCTGGTCTGCCGTCACTAGCTTTTAGTCACTTCAGTGTCACTACCTACACTTTTCCATTAGAGTTCCATCAAATATCTTGTCAAAGCATTGCCAACAAATAAATCTGCCCATAGTTTATGTAGTAACTCTTGTTACTTTTTTATTTTGTATGGAGAAAAAAAAATCTGCCTCTGCCTCTGCCTCCCAGAAATTTGCTGCCTTTGCAGCAAACAGCAAAAAGCCTAGTCAGCTTCAGCACAGCCTGATTTAGCCTGAGCAGCTGATTGGCAGTTGGATCGGCCTCCTGGAATACTGCCTATCAGCTATTCCAGGCTGCAGGGATCGCCACCGCCTATTGCCGCCTACGCACACCCCTTTTTTGGCCTCCGCTGTCCCATTTTCAGCCTCTGCGTGCCCCATCTTTTGCCTCCACACACCCCATTTTTGCCCAGGGTGTGTGTAGGCCAGGGCATGTGGCGGGGATAAGCAGCGGTGGCAATCCCCGCTACCTGGAACTATCAGAAAACAGGACGCGCAGAGGCTGAAAATTGGGCATGTACAGGCGGTGATAGGTGGTGGCAGTGGTGGCGATTCCCGCAGCAGATAGGCAGTATTCCGGAAGGCGGATCCAACCGCCAATCAGCTGCTCATGCTAAATCACATTGTGCTGAAGCTGACCAGGCTGTTTACTGTAAGGAGACAAATTGCTGGGAGGCAGAGGCAGATTTTTTTTCCCTCCCCAAAAGCTAGGCGCATCTTATAGTTCAGAGCATCTTATAGTCCAAAAAATATGGTAACTCTCCAAACATTTGTTGAAAAACCAATTCAGCCAACATTATAGGGTTCTAAAAACAAACAAACCCAAAACCAGTAAAAACAAAAAGAATCCAAAAAAAGAAAACAAAAAAACTCCCACCAAGGCAGGGCAGATCACCATTTTGACAAGTCTGGCCACATATGGTAGCATACAGTCCTTAGCCACAATGATCCATGTTGAGTGGACAGCAAAGGCTAACTTTTTAGACAGCCAAATGTGAGAGTTATATGACCCTATTATGGGGATGGGAGTCAGCAAAGTGGCTGGGTGGATTTGCCCAAAGACAATCACATGCAAAAACAATCTTCCAATGTCTAAAAGTGCTGATTTCCAAGTCAATGATGCCTCTGTCTTCTTGGGTAGAAATTGTATGTTTGGGGATCAACTAAAGGACACCAAACTAAAGAAGATTGCAGCATTTCTTCCTAAGGGTCACTTCTATACTTTGAGCCTTAATAAGTAAAATGTTTAAAATCACCTCTGACATCTCCTCCTCCCCAGTTTACTATGTTTCTTATACCAGCCAGTATTTGTTGTAACAGGCATGAAGAGGTCACATAATTCAAATCAAGAAAGACCAACAACAAATATTCCTAGAGAACAGCCTTCTATCCTAAGTTAGAAAGATTTTTATACAAACAGGATTAAATGCATTTTTGAATCTAAAATAAAAAGAAGTCATTTCATAAGTAAATGGTACAGCCCAATGTAAAAAAATATCAATGAATCTGGAGGGCATTCATAAAAACATGCATTTATAAAAATATTGTACTATGAAGGATAATAAATAAAGGTATGTTAAGGTAGACTAATCTATAGCTAGAATAGATTAGTTTAATACATTGCAGAAAGAGATCTAACATAAACAAATATTCAAAGTACATAGTAACAGGTTGACAAATTTGTCACCATCTCCATTACTGTATACGTGTTGATATAATCTTTTACACTATAAAAGTTTATTTTCTTTTAAGTAATTTTATAGTGGCTATAATCTTTTGATTAGGAAAACTACAAAAATCACAAGTTCCCTATAATAAAGCTACATGTTACATTTCTAATATTTCAACATATTAAAACCATACTTACTAATAAATGAAGTCTCCCCCAGATATCCTCTGCGTTTCAGGGTCACCTCCAGAACCTTGGAATCCTCATCTATCATGTAATATTCTTTTTCCAATGAAATCCAAGCCCAGTTCAAACGAAAAGGTTGGCTCTTCAATCTGTTTCCTCCTAAAATTCAGTTCAATAAATAAATTATTATGTAGTACATATAATCTGAAAGATATCCAGAATCCTTTCAATATTCACATACAGGACTACATGATATACAATATGAATAAAACTGCATGAGTGAGACAATATTTCTTCATTGTAATACTATGTAAATGTGTTGTATTAGGTTTCACTTGAATTGTGTCTTTTTGATGAGACAAAAATACAATTATTATTTAAAAAAAGAAGAAAATATAATGCGGACTTTCTGTCTTCAAAAGAATGACATTTGTCTTTCAAATGCAGATGGACTGCTAAATTTTGTCCTAGTGAGTTTGTTCTTATATGTGATGCCATGGGTTTGTGATGTGGTGTTTTGTATCCCCAAAGAAGACAATAAAGGCCACATTTTGAATAGGGAGGAGCACTGGTTTGAAGAAGGAGTCAAAGAGGCCATGTATGTAAAAATTGAACAACAGGTAAGGTTACACCATCACCTATCTCCTGTCTATCTTTCAGCAGTCCCAATAAGGTTCTACACTCATTTGCACTCTGATTCAGGTAACCCTGGGGGTAGAGATAAAACCTCAAGGGGCCTCAATGAGTCACAGTTCATGAACAACCTTCAGAATGCTAACAACCAGAGGACTGAAAATAATATAAATCCTTTCATTCCCCACTATTCAGTCAAAACTGAAGAAGCTTCCTGTATGAGAAGCAAAATATGTTCAAAGGAAAAAAAAAACCAAGAAAGTCAAGTTTCCTCCAAAAAACTTTTAGGATAACCAAAAGTGGGGTGATTAAGAGCCACCATAGACATCAATCTTTTTTATTTATGATGATGTGAATGAAACTGTTAATAACATAAACAGGTAAAATTTATCATTAATCTAGGATCATATGGAGTCCACCAGCATTTAGTCACTGATTATCACTGATTATCACAGTCCAGATAAATTGTATCAGACACATTATCACAATGCTTTACGCCTTGCCAATTCCTCTACAGTGTACTGGAGTTGGAGAAGAGATCTTGAAGCTAACCATGAAAGCACTATGAAGACACTGTAAAAGATACCCTATGACACTGTGACATCCAGCCAAGGGAACTAGAAGTTGAGCTGCTGACAGAACACACTGGTGTCTCTGTACTATTCAAAGCTTCCATCAGCTTTGAAGACACTGCCAAAAGAAAACTGTGAGTAGCGTCACAGAATAACACCCACAGCTGCCACTACAACAGATTCCAGTGCCCTCGTTGTGCTAGATTCTGTTTCCAGATTGAGAGTGCAGAGTCACCTCTGTGTACACAGATTAATAGAGTGCAAAACAGAGTTTTCTTCAAACCTGAAGGACTACACATAAAATAGCTTTAATAAATTGTAAGAAATCTGTAAAGATCAAGTAGTTCAAAATATAAATATAATATAAATATAAAATAAAATATAAATCACTAACTTTGCTAAGATATATGGCAGAGAATAGGGAAAAGCCAGTGTTTCACAGATAGCCAATTAAGGCATCAAACTAAAAACCAGGAGAATATGCAGCCTTTAGTTAAGATTGCAGTAGATGTGCAATTATAAATAGCTGTGGTATATAATGAGTGGTTTGCTTTTTGTAGCCTAATTCATCATATTACTTAAAACTGTTTAAATTCACAATCACTGGAAAATATTAATATTTTGACATACTTTTTATAACTGAAGATTGAACAAATTCCTTTATAAAGGGCTCCATTGTGAAACATGGATTAGAGAGTTTATTTATAATTAATAATAGGAAAGTTAATTACCATAGGCTGTACCATACAGTATATAAATAACAGATTTCATACTATCATGCTGGCAGCTAAAAAGACCAAAGGAGTATCATGATTTAAACACAGGGCATAAGGTTATTTTTTTTTAGAAATTAATTGACTGAACAAGTTGCTAAGTACACATTTCACCATTTTTTTCAGCTCAGGCAATATCCCCTCCCTTCAATCACAGGATTGTACTTTGTGCCTTTCAAGAGAAGCTGAAAGAATTTATTACAAAGGTATCTGAGTTTTGAAAAAATATATTACCCGTTTGTTCCTATTGTATAATTTTGGCCTCCTATTTCAGTGTCATACATGCTATCTCTTCAAAGAATGGTTTTGCAACTTATTTTTTAAAGTTTTGTTCCATTCCTTTTCTTATTATTGATACAGCACAAACAATAAATAATAGCAGGAGTCAAAATGAAAGTGTTAAGTTTAAAGGTCCATCTTCCAAATGACAATGTACAACATGGTGTTTGATACTGCCACACATCCAATTCAATTACCTTATAGTTAGATTACTGTAGCTTATAATTACTTAGGGCTGCCCTTGAAAAAAGTCTGTAAACTTAATCAAATGCAAAAATGTATGGATTTGTTCTATGCATTTTAAAGATCATGAGATACTGGTCTTGAAAGAATTATATATGCTTCCAGTTTGTTTTCAGATATAATTTTTTAAAAATCCTGGTTCTTGCTTATTATGCTCTAAGAACTTTAGACAGATGTCTGGAATACAAATATATAAATTTGTCCAAATTACTATTCATCAAAACCTTGTTACATGTATCTCTTACTGATATCTGATAGCTTCCTGAAATCTTTTAGTAGCAGAAAATTTATACAGCCTCTACTTCAGCTACATAACATTGACAGGTAAAACAATATATACAAAGATAATATAAAAACCCACAATCCATTAAAATATTTCAGTCCAAGGCAAGGGGTACTACATAAGAATTACATAAGACACATGGATTTCTTAACATCTTGACCCTAGCACTAGGATGATAAGCCAAGTTTTATCTGCCTTCTGGAAGACCAAGTTGGTTGGAGTCATCCAAATATCAGGGAAAGGCTGTTCCACAGGCCAAGCAATCCCTGGTCCTACAAGATAGCACTGTTTGGTAGAAGGGATCTGGAACATCCCCACTCTGTCATATCAGGTGTAAAAAACTGACACCCTCAGACATGGATGGTCCCACAAGTAATCTGTCCCATTTCATATAAGGTTTTAATGATAATAACCAGCACTTGGAATGCACCGGAAGCATACTGGTAACAAGGTTTTAGCAGCAGTAGTGTAACACATATGAACTTCAAAGCACCCAGACTGTACACACTGTCAGATTCTGTATCAGTTAAAAGGCTGTTAAAGGGCAGCTCCACCTAGATAATTCTGCAGTAATTTAGCCAGAAAGTACCTAAAGTATGTGTAACAATGAGCAAGAAGCTCCTGGTCCAAGAATGAGGGCAACTGGCATGTAATCATATCAGTGAAAATATTAGGAAGATTAGTCACCTAATGGTTTTATAAGCTGGTAAAGATAACATTGATTCAGACTTAGTGTGCTGTGCAAGTCTAGCCACTGCAGGTTATAAACCCTGTTGATGATTTAACAGATTCTGGTGCATTTCATGGAAAGTAATGAAATAAATCATTATAATAGTAGCAAATATCTGTAGTTCGGGTGTAGGATGAGGGTGAGGGTTCATTCTCCAAGTTTGTGGACTGGTTTCCGAACGTTTTGTTACCAGACTGGGCAACATCTTCTGCAGAGTTTAGGCGATGTCAGTGTCAGTGTTCTTTTGTTTATAAGGGTTTCAGGTATGGGTATGTCAAGTAGGAGTCTTGGATATAAATTATTGTTCAGCATAATGAGAAAATGTGCAATAAGTAAAAGAGTAGGATGGCAAACTGACATTGGATTTGGATCCAGTATTTGGATTAAAACTCCCATATGCTACAGCCAACAGTAGGCTATAAAAGTAAATTATGATAGTAGTCCAAAGATTTGACATATCCCAAATTGCTTAATGGATTAAAAATATCCTCAGAATAGCATCTAATAATAATAACAGAAATGCCAGATTTGCCTTAGTCTCAGATATACTGACAATCTACTATATTCCAGGAATAACTTTTTATTGTTTTCAACATAAGAATTATATAAAACTTGTCAAGGCAGAAAGGACAATTTAAAATGAAACATTTCAAAGTAAGACATTTACTTCTATTGTTTACTGGTAGGCACAAAAAACTTGGAACAGGAGCAAACTTTTTGCTTCACCAGACACAGTCAATAGCAGAGTGTCTAAGAGCAAAATATCTAAAAGGGACCAGGAAAGATCAGCGTATAAGCTTTGGCAAAGTTATTTTGATAATTTAAGAAAAGACTAACCTTTTTAAAGGAAGGGCCACATAAACATAGTTCTACAGAGGAATTATTGAGTCTGAATCTCTATAACTGTCTGGTTTGGCTCTGCAACCCAACAATACAGACACAGACTTCAATGGATAATCAGAACTGCAGAAAAAACAATTACTACCACCCTGCTTTCCATTGAGCACCAGTATACAGCACGAGTCAAAAAGAGGACTGTGAAAATATCTACAGACCCCTCACATCCTGGACATAAATAGTTTCAACTTCTACTCTCAAAACGACGCTATAGGGCACTGTACTCCAGAACAACTAGACACAAGAAGAGTTTTTTTTCCCAAATGCCATCACTCTGCTAAACAACTAATTCCCACAACACTGTCAAACTACTTAGTAAGACTGTATTAGTATTCTTCTTCTCATCTTTCCTATTACCTATCTCTTCCCACTTATGACTTTAACCATGTTGCTTGTATCTTTACAATTTATATTTTATTCCCAGTATGATTTGATTGCTTATTAGTAACCTATGGCTATCACTAAGTGTTGTATCTTATGATTCTTGATTAATGTATTTTATTTTTTTCTTTATGTACACTGACAGCATATGCACCGAAGATACAGTAAATTCCTTGTGTGTCCAATCATACATGGCCAATAAAGAATTCTATTCTATTCTATAGATTTTGAATGGTTTGTCGGGGAAAGTTGCATTCCAAAACTGGGACAGGGTAAGGACAAATACATGGTATGGCCTAGCTAAAAAAAAAGCAGATTTAACTTAATGCACCTATAATCTGATCTCAATTAATGTGATTATTTTCCTG